GTATAGCAGTATACAAGCGTATGCTGATATACAACATCAAAGGTTGTTTTAATTTCATAGTTTATTTATTTAAACGATTTGCTTAATTATTCTTAAGTGAATCGTACCCAAATACGACACCATCAATAAAAAAATTATGTGCTAAACTAATAAAAATTTCTGAGCCAATCAAAAAATTAATGTGTGCCAAATGGGAAAAAAAAAGTGTGCCATTATTTTCGGAGTGTGTGCCATTTATTTTTATTGATGTTTCGTTGTAAAAATAAACGAAATGCAATGTCTGTTTGTGTACGTGTACAAAACAAGAGCTAAACGTAATGGAGCCTATTGTAGGGCCATCCGTCATCACAAGACCAAGATTCTCTTTGACAAGATCCTTTTGGACCAGTTGGGTATCTAAAATACCGTCCCAAAGACAAACGGTTAACATGATTATAATATAGATGACCTTCATATTATTGATTACATACAAACAATGTCGCCTACAGTTCTAGATACTGTACGATTTGCAGTCTGTCATTCCAGTTGGTGGGAAGCTTTGCTAATTGTTTCTCCACAAAGCTCCAGTGTTATTCGTCGTACAATGATAATTCTAGTAATGTGACCTGGGTCTTGATTACTTGTACCGAAAAAACCTTGATCCTCTTGAACGTAGATAAGGGAAGTCGGCAAAATAGATCCGTAACTTCGGGATAAGGATTGGCTCTAAGGGTTGGGTAGATACAGAAGCGTTCTTATAATGCATGGCCTCTTTCTTCAAAGTGGCAACACCACATTCCAGAATCTTCAGCGAATCTTCAATCGTATGAGTTGTATGCTCCTTCAATCGGCCACTATATAACCACAAGAGTAAATTTTTATTGTATTTTATCTTATTTGAATGTACTTTACCTTGATGATTCAATGACAATTAACTCCATGTTGTTTTGTGTGGACATAATTCCCAAAGCATCAATATATTTGCTGGGGGGAGCAGCACGGAGATCGTAATCATACTCTGCCATATTCATGGTCTTAGTTGAGCGAAACTCAGTCTCACACCTGCAATAGATAGATATAGGTTAAATTTTCTTTTTTCTATATTTTTTTTTTCTACCATACCACTTGAATTCAATAAAGCCTGTATTCTTGGCCAAAGACAGCATGGATGGAATAACGTTCTCAATGAAGTACGTTCTTTCATAGTTGTTTGCATGTTCAGGTATTGTCTTCGTTATCAGATGGAAGGAGCAGAGCGTGTATCTTGCGACATCCAAAAACGTCTGCGACCTTTTATCCAGATTGTCAACATGTGTCATCCAGAGTGTAGAATTAAACTTATCAAATGGTATTTCTTCCAGCAAATAGACTAAATGGTCTAGCAGCTTGAGTGAATTAAGAGACTTGTTGCTACCTTGATCCTGTTCATACTGATGGTACTGTGCGCTTGATATCGTGTTGCTTTTTGAAAATGAAGTACCAAAATGAAATAATTTGGTGGGCTTCACCACCAATACCGCCAACACCGAGTTTTTCACCAATTCCACCACACAGAGCTTCACCCATTCCACTACACAGAGCTTTACCAATACCACCAAAGACAGGTACACCAACACCGAGAGCTGCACCAACACCGAAAGCTGCACCAACAACGAGAGCTTCACCTACACCCAGAGCCTGGTCGACACCCGGAGCTTCATCGATACCTGCACAAAGAGCTCACCACCGTATTTTCACTTTGGATCTTTCTTTTTTACATTGCTCAGCGTGTACTGATGGCATTGACATCTGGTAACGGTTGGATCCCTCAGCCACTTCAAATTCGGCCTACATAAGAATGAAACTAATATTAAAAATAGTCATATGAATACGTTTTTTAGCTTACAGGTATGGTTCTACGAGCTTCGGTGTTCTACATAAGACTGGAAAGTGAGTATATATTTAAACTATTAATGACATAAATACATACCAAGGCACAATTGTCATCATCAATTTCATCGGCTCGTCTTTTACCTAACTGTAAGAATGATGAGATACCTATGAACTTGCCATATACTATTAATACATACTGATTTACTGTTAAATACAGCAAATTTGGGATGCACATTTATTTGGCCGTGGTTATTTAGAACATCCGCCAATCTTTGATTATTTACATCATCTGGACTTTGGACAGAAGCTTGACTTTGGACAGAAGCCTGACTTTGGATAGAAGCTTGACTTTGGATAGAAGCTTGACTTTGGACAGAAGCTTGACTTTGGATAGAAGCTTGACTTTGGACAGATGCTTCCCTTTCGACAGGTGCCTGACTTTGGACAGGTGCTTGACTTTGGACAGATGCTTCCCTTTCGACAGGTGCTTCCCTTTGGACAGGTGCTTAAGGGTGCTCAGCGTGTACTGATGGCATTGACATCTGGTAACGGTTGAAGCCCTCAGCCACTTCAAATTCAGCCTACATAAAAATGAAACGAATATTAAAAATAGCCATATGAATACGTTTTTTACGGGTATAATCATACGAGGTTTAGGACTCTACATAAGACTGGAAAGTGAGTATATATTTTAACTATTAATGACATAAATACATACCAAGGCACGATTACCATCATAAATTGCGTCGGCTCGTCTTTTACCTAACTGTAAGAATGATGAGATACCCATGAGCTTGCCATACGATATTAATACATACGGATTTACTATTGAATACAGTAAATTTAGGATGGACATTTATTTGACCGTGGTTGTTGAGAACCTCCGCCAATCTTTCACTGTATGCCCTATACAGGAAGAAATCAGCGTTTGTCATATGAAATTTGATATCGCTGAAATCTATTATTACTTCAATTGATACTGTCAGTAATTGAGGCGCACTATCTTCCAAAGCCTTAGCAGACAAAGACATTAAATTATAAACGTCATTATCTTCAAAGGATTTGTATGAGCTTCTAGGACTTACCACTGTAAATAGCTGCGATCAGACTGTAAAGAGCTGGACCCTATGAAAACTTAAGGCAACTTACAAATTGCTGTTTTCATAATTTTCCTGTGTCACCAGTGCTGACGAGATTGCTTGCTTATAGCAACAACAACTTCAGCCCCGTTGGTCGATATCAAGGGGCTCTCATTATTATGGTATAATCATCCGCCTTTTTGATTGCTTGACCATGTCTATTAGAGCCTTTGTCAGAAATGCGGCCTGGCTTATATTATAATAATAATATCATAAGATACTTACTAGTGGTAAAACGAAGGGGATTTAAGCAGGCGAAAATGACTTTTATTTTCACAACAAATACAAAGCCTTCCTTTCCATAAACGAAAGAGCATGCAATTGGGAGTCGATATGATTGAATAGTTTATAAAGTATACACCAACAAAATAGATTATACAATAAAGGGGAGAAATAAAGGATAACCGACATGGAATGAAGAAGGTGAAAAAAGGTGATATATTTATATTTATAAAATAACATGAATCCCCGCAGCTGAAACATTGATTAATCTTAGATGGTGACTCATAATATGGACTGTCTTGGAAGAGCCCAGAACGTTTCGTACAATGGTAGTTTTAAGACTTAGTATGAGGCTCTAGAACGTTCTAGGTGTTGGGGACACCGGGTCACGGACAAAGTGAAAAGCATGTGACACATGATAGCCTCCTACATGAAACTCTTCATTCTTCATTCACGTAAATAACTTTGTTAAGCAAATAATCAAATTGTTTTATTTTAACGCCCTATGTAAGTGATGCAAATAATGTGGTGTGGACAAAAGTTTCGAAATCATCTGGATGGTATTTAGTGTCAAGTAAAGGTGTAAACATTATAAATGATGAAACAATCAATCAAATCATCCTGACATAAGCTTGTTTATCAGCCTATAAATAAATCTGGTTCACACACTTTTTTCATCCCGTTTTCTTTTCCCTTAACATATTTTTCTTTCTATCGTAAATGAAAGTAGCGGATAAAGTAAAAAGGTTTGTTTAGTAGTGACTCTTGTTTCTTTGAAAAGACACTAAATTGAAAAAGATTTATATTGTGATATTGCGGCTGCGGCTAGTCTTTGCTATAGGAGGGCGACCTCTCAGGCAGGGTTTTTGAGTTTTTGAACTCATAGGCCGTGAATGGCTTGGATTAGACTGTAAATAGGTTTCAGCATACTGGCCTGCTGGTCTTCTTACCAGAATTACTGTAAGTGGTATAAAAAAAATACGTTTGAAAAAAATACGGAGTTCTAGACATTTCCGAAATTATTTACCCAATCAACGGGATATTGCAGAAAATGAATATGGAGAAACCGTCCAACTACTTAGCTCAAGTGAAGTCAAAGAGTGTTCGGAGTGGGCCATTAAAACAATAAAATCTGGCTATTTAGTAAGTTAATCCAACCAGGTGTCTTGTTCTATTTATTTAGTAAAATGTAGGCGCTTTCTACCACCACCTCGACAAACTTTTGGAATAATAATTTATTCCGAACTAATGTCATTCAAAGCCTGTTGGCCCCAGAAGCTCCTAGGTTTGTCCTGTCACTTCCCTCAGACTTTGAATCGCCCCAAAGACGCAAGGCTTCAAGAAAGGCCAAAGAAGACAACAGCAATGCCTCCAATTCAAGACCAAAGATCAATGTAAGGTGGAATAAACGCTGTACTGCAATAATAACCATATTCATCGACAGTCTATTTGTAGATTGTTGAAACTGACAATATCACTATTCCCGGGCTGGATGTTAGTCTAATGTCTTTTTTGAAGACAAACGCTGCAAACAAAACCTATCTGTACCACAGCTATGATTATGAATCTAAATATCGCATAACATCAGTTATGAATAATATTTTAGATCTAACAGACATCTCTGCCAATAAGAAAAGTTACTCACTAAATGGCGAACAATTGGACTCAATCGTGGCTGCCTTTCCTACCTCACCTCCCGAGTATAACAACATTGGCAATGGCACAAGGTTTGGGGAACTGTTGAGGAAATTATAGATATAATAATAAAGTTAATTGTCACATCACATTAAGGATGGATAATAAATATAAAAGTTAATCATGAATCACACATTACCCCGCTTGTTCTCATCCTACCGTTGAAGTCTGTACACAGGGCACAACCCTATGACGAGTAAATATTTATTCTGCAAAAAACAATACAATCGAATGGGCCTGGACTAGAATATTAATAGATCCTGAGCACAAATATAACTCTTGTCATTTGATGTTATAACTGTCGATCCCTCTGACTAATATTTATATGCTCAGTATGGAAGGGCTAAATTTAAAGCCATGTTGATTATTTACTATCACCAGATTATTACATCATGATCCAATAAGGCGCTTAATATTCTCCCTAGAACTATCCCAGTTCTTTATATAAGTATCCATAGTTTTTCTCATAGACCAGGGATACATTATTGAATACATTTTTTTATAACACGTTTTTTAAATATATTTTTTCGTCCATAATAAAGTGGTATCCAAGTTCTAACAGTATCACTTTTGGTTTATTTTTAATTTTGTTCCCAATGCAAAACATGAACTACTAAACGGGGCTTACAGAAATTGGAGTCATACTCTCAACAAGCTAGCGTCAATAACAGAGATAGCAGATTCATTGCGCCTCAGCGTAGTCATCCTTAACGATTGAGTGTGATAACGTTTGCTTGGAAATTATTCAGTTTGAAATCAGTTATAAAATTTATTCGATGCGAAAGAAAGCTCTTTGTAGTGGAAAATATAATAAAAACAGAAATACGATATTTGGTTTTAACCCATTTTTGATTTGCCAGAAAAAGAAAGGAGCACCAGGAAAATTGCAGATTGCATAAATCATCCCATGATTGCGTTTGTAGAAATTTTCGAATGGTCATCTTATGAGCAGCTTTTTCAATTTAATGGTAACTTTAAAAAAGACTCGATCGCACATTATCAGCAGCAGTAATTATTTAAACGTATATTTCGCCCTATTCTTAATACGTGCATCGCTCCAAAGTAAATCTACCTTGTAGTGCCAGGAGTAAGCAACTTTAAAAGGGTACAAGCACGAATTCAATTTTTGATTGTTCTTTCCGAAACGATTATGATTGTCTCTTTGTTAAAACTTTATGTGTATTCAAACAGTAACTTTCCATTGCTCTTAATTAACCTTAAAAATTCCATGGATTATACTGGCGTCATAGCAATTTAGATAATGCTTATGTATTATAACTATAATCGTTTCAATACTACTTGCATGATCACTGAATAATTGATGAATGTGTTTTGTGTTGTGTATTTTTTTGCTGTATATCATCATATCTGCATAAAGTTCAGTCAAGTGGCTGAATTTTGTTGTCCAAGTTTAAATTTTTGTGTTTTTCCCTGGTCTTCTATTTTTTTCAGTTTCCTGTTACATTAAAAATGACTGATTATGCCAATCTTCGTAAAATAGTTACGGGTGACATTATTATTAAGTGTAAGTTCTCTCTAAGCAGAAACGTGAATATCTCATTCCACCTAACTATTATCACTTCAAATTAGGCCGTTTTGGTAATGACATCCGTCGAATTCCCATTAACCAGGTACCAAATTATGATGAGTAAGTGCTATTGATTTACCTCCCCACATCTAGAATTGCATCTCAATTCTGTCTGCATAGGTTGTGTCTGATGATGTATCGGGTATTTAAGACAGAGATATCCAAACCCGAGAACATAGTTTTAAAGTATATGGACAATGGTAAGACGAAACTAAAATATAAAAAAACTTGCATGATTTTTAATATCTATTATATTTGGACCAGAGGGAGATATGATTAGCTTGTTGGGTAAAGCAATGATAAATGATTACTTACGCTGTCCTACTGATATATTTTAATTCAAATAGATGATATCGATATTAGCCATGCTATCTCAATCAGCAGTCTACTTAAAATTACAGTTTTTGACAAGGCAGGAACATCTCAATCGTCTTCTTCGTTGCAAGTCTCTCTGATCGAGATTCGCGACAGTCTAAACGAATTGATTCAATTATCTAAAGAGCCAGAGCCTAGTAAAGTAGCTGAGAAGAGCGAGGAATCCAAAATAACTCGTCGACTTACGCCATCGGAATTAGGTACATGATAACTCCTTATTCCCAACTTTTTTCTAAAACTTTAATTTTAGCTGAATTTTTAAATGCAACTGAAAAAAACGAAGAGGATAAAAAATCGCCAATGACAGAGAAGTCAACCCCCGTTATTTCGTCGTCGCAAGTTCCATATTATCCACCTCCTCCCACCTCTCAAGTTCAAGTCAAACCGGCTCCTCAGTTACAACAGCAGCCTTCCAATATTCAATATATCCAAAACCAATTACCTATCGGGGCTCCCCAACAGCAGCAAAGACCAATTTCTCTGCAACAAAATCCCCAAAGTGCCCCTCAACCTAACACTCAGTCATCCTCATATCTTCCCCAGAAACAACAGTATTCTGTCCCCAATTATCCTCCTGCACCCCCTCAATCTAGCAATATAAATTATGACCCAAGATTACATCATCAGCAGCAGGAGCAACCACAACATCAACAGCATCAACAGCAGCCACAACTCCAACAAACACAGCCACAGTTTCAGCAACAACAGCCTCAGCTTCAAAAACAACAACAACCAGGAAGACAAGGTTACTTTGTTCCCCCGCCACCCACTTCCATGAACCCAACGCCTGCCACTCCCCAATTACCCCCTCAGCCGTATAGGCCTTCTACACATTGGTAGTTAATCACTTTTATTTGAAAAAAAAGGAAAATAAAGTTTAATCAATATATACGGGTATACCATATACAACCGTAGCAGCACCTATTCATTTAATATTAGTAACAATACCATAAAAATCTCCCCTCATCACCATTTACCTATCAAATATACTAATTTGCCTTGAGATCGGGATTTTGTAAGCGCTTGAACAAGTGAGGTTTTCTCGGAATTTGAATTTTTTGTTAGGCCCCAAGAATGAAGCATGAATTTGGTTAAACGATCAATACTTCTATCTGTCACATCCCAGAGATTAGCTACAACTGCAGGACTATAAATTTATGTAGTGAGTATATATACAAAGAATTTTTTAAATTGGTTTCATTACCTTCCTGCCAATAGATAATTCAATACATAACCATGAGGGTCAAATTCACCGTTAGATTCCAAGACACCACTACTACATCCCATTAACAGAGACACAGCACATTTGGGTAGCTGTCTTACAGATGTTCCGCGCATAAATGATTGACCTGCACTATGGCCGAAGTACATGTATATATCACGATTTTGTAAGGCATCTCTGCATTGCAGTTCCATAGGCATTGCTTCTGTCACACCGCTCCATTCTGGTATATTGTTAAAGATAGGCTCAAACACCTTTTGTGTATCTTTTAGATCTCCACTGGGATTTAACACGTAAAATGCACTCTTTTTTGAGACAGAGAGATCTTTCCATTCTGTTTTGTTTTTGTTAGTTGTACCGGAAGTTCTGGTAGCATGTGCTCGAGCATAAAGAATACGGTCTCTCAAAAAAGAAAGACACGGTAATCGAGAAACAGATTGTTTGAAAAGGATTGGTGTACTTTCAACAGGGAACATTTGTAAGTGTTTATCCAAGATAAGAATGACATGATCATTTGGTACGATCTTGTTAGGATCAATCCCGGCTCTACGAGAAGCGTCATAATAACGTATGTTCAACAGTTTCATTTGATCCGCCATCTAAATACATATATATTAGTTACTTGCTAATAGAAAGAAAGAAAAGTTGTGATAATCTTTAAGTTTACCTTCTTCATATCCAGTTTTGAGTGATCCAATTCAGCATCTTGAGCTTCATAACGTGACAAGACAAAATAAGCCAAATCTTCTAAATCCCTTGGATTGGGTTTAGGGCCTAAACGAACGATCATACGACAAAAGTTTATATCCAACTCTACTTGCTTCAACTTGTTTGAGGCTGAATACATCATTTTGTACGCAAATTCGCTCAAGGTTTTCTGGAGATTTTGTAACTCACTCACGCATTCAAAAGTACGTCCACCCAAGATACCCTGATTGACACAAGAATTAATTTTTTATATACTAACTGACATATAGCTTTTACCTTAAATCCACTAAACCATTGGTTTTCAATTGAATTTAATAAATTCCTCATTCTATCATCTAAATCACGTCTCGCATTCCACCAATCTTCTACTTCAGTAGGGTCGTTACAGCTAGAGCTGTTTTGGATGGTTTCATCGCTTCCGGCAATAATATCTTGAAATTCAGATAGCGCCTCGTCGTACTTGATGACACTATGAAATTTGGATCGATGCTTACAACGGTTCAATGGAATCTTGACAACATATGGCGTCTCACCTGTTCTCATACGTACTGCATACAAGTCTTGATTGATCGGGTCATATGTTAAAGAACAGACGGTCCAATTGTTAGGTATGATGTTGATGTATTTGTCTTGAAAGTCTGTGATTTCCAAATCTTTCTCATCCGTATACATTGTCGTGAGTGTATTTAAATGTGCTTCCAGCCATCCCAGCTCAAATTCAAAAAAGGTGGGAGCTCGATTACTATCTGAGGGCCAGTTCTTATCATTTGGTGGCTGGGATCTTTTTGTTTTTAATTTGAGACAGTTTTGCATATCACGTCGTAAGCATACTCCTTTCGCCATTTCTAGATAGTAAGAACTATTGAGTGCATCACTATTATTGCCAGTACTTAACATTTGACACTGTAATAATGTCGAGAATACAGATTGTTTACAAACACCTTCAATGAGAACAGGACGTTCCCTGGCGTAGCCTGAATGATATGCTAAAAGCATGCGACCCATTAAATTTGTAAAATCATCTTGCATCAATAAGCGTTCATTTTTGGTAGATCCAGCTGTTTCTCTTCTCTCCCTGCGGGCCACCTTCATCTCTGGTAAAGCCACAGATTCGTAAAGCAAAGCGTTTGCATCGGGTCTTGTAGAGAGTTCTTCTCGAAGCATCAGCAGTTTAATTTGTGCAAAAGCAGCGTTGAATTCAGTCTCATTTTGGGTCTCAAGTCCTGATTCATACCATTTTTCCAATGATGAGAGACCTTCTTTGGTGTCACCTCTGGATGCAAGTGCCAAAGAGAGTTGGATCATGACATCACTTTTGATAAGTTCTAATGGAGCACAATCACCCCTTTCAGATTTCTTGGTTTCATCGTCAAACATAACTCGAGTATTTGGTTCTCTAATATGCTCTGTTTGTTCAATGCTGGAGATATAGTCTATTCCACAGAGGTTATCCAATTCAGTTCTAATGTTTCCGAATGTGGTAATAGCATCATTATAATATCCATTTGAAACCCCCAAATTGGCCATTGTGAGTTGTAGGTAGATTTCATCCAAGGCATGATGATCACCAGTAGGTTTATATGCTGCCGCTTGCTCAATATTCTCTGTGGCAGTATCTAATTTTCCACATCGTCGATGAAATTCACTGGAGATCAAATATGAATAAAAAAATATAGCATTGGAATTCACCTGTTCAGCAAGTAATGGTCCTTCTTTGATAAAATATTTTACTTCGTTCCAAGAACCTTTTCGCATATACAATGAAGCCAATGTGTTTAGACACTTTCCAAGTTTTTGAGCCATTGTCCACTGAGATTCTTTAAATACAACCTTAGTCTTGTCTTGTTCAGATGGCGGTGGCGGTGGTGGTGGCGTAGGCGCGAAGGGGTTTTCCAATTCTGTTGACACCTTCTTCTTTTCAGAACGGTCGACAATGGTCTTTTGTGTCACCTTGATGCATTTGTTGATGAGTTGAAGCGCGGCCGTTGAGCAATCAATGGCGCTATCGAGGGTATCCGTATTTGCTAAAATGAGTGATCTTGTTACATAGGCATCCGCTAAAAGCATACATCGTTCAGTATACGCCCTTGCTGTCAACAAAGCATTTTTGGGATCGGTAGTTGGTGTATACTCCCAAACCGTCTTTGTTTCGTCAAATGCTTTTTTGGAGGATTCGTACTGTCCAATGCAGGCTAAATAGTTTGAATAAGTAACACCATATACCAATTCAGACATGTTGTTGCAAGGCTTGTGAAGGATCGCGTTTTTTGCATTTTTGAATTCGGCAGCCGCTTCTCCATTGTAACCCAAATCTGTATAGATACGAGCGATCTTACAACTCAAAATAATTGAGTCTGATACATGATCCACATTGATATCGCGTAGTTGATTATTTAACTTGAGTAGAATACGCAATGCTCTGATTTGATACACATTCTCGCCTGTCACACCAAAGAGATCTGCCAACATACGAACATGATCATACAATTGTTCCATGTCATCTATGCTTTTATATACTTGCTCGATGTCATGCTTTGAAGAACCACCGGAGTTATAAATCGGCGTGATTGAATTAAGTAAGACACCCCATTGTTGAAGTGTGGTTCCGAAATTGTGGGATACTTCTTCCTGGAGTTCTCGTCCACAGATAGCGACCCACGAAGAAGCCAATGCTAGATAATGGTAACGGTAATTTAATAAGTCGGTGTCTTTTCCATAGTTAGTCACATTAAGGTGTTGAATTGCATTTTGGGCGGATGTCATGGCCTCGCGAGTGCTTTGCTCACTATTTGTAAAACGTGCTCTTTCGATGCATACATGGCTCAAGAGAACCCTAAAAGAAAAAAAGGAAACAAAAAAAGGAAAGGTGATATGAGTATGACATACGTGTAGTTGCAGACAATTATTTACCTAGCCCTACGAATAGGATAAAAGGTCTCATTATAGATTAAGAGCAGGTTTTCAACGATAGCCATTTGAAATTTGGTGACATTCATTTTTAAAGCCAAGAAATTCCATACTTTCAATTCACATTCATACACAAGGGCTTGTTGTATAGCGGTCAGGCCAGAAAGATCCATCAGCTCATTAGCGAAACGAATTTCAGATTGATTCGGATCAATGATAGAGGATCTTAAGAAACGATCGATTAATTTGGGTACAAATGGGTCCGTTTCGATGATGGTAGAAATAGCGGTGGTATCTGCCCGACTCACAAATCTTTCAAATGTGCTTTTGGGAATACTCTTCAATGCAGATCGGTAGGCGACAATAGCTTCTTCATAATCTCCGTTCTTTTGACAGCATGTACCAAGAATTTCATAGCGCTTACAGAGTTGTAATTTTCCTTCCACTGAGGTGATACGCTCGGTGTCCTTTCTTAAGAGAGTGCATGCCTTTCGAAGTGGATAGAGAGCAGGTTTGTATAACTCAGTTTTAATCATGGTAGCACCCAAGTTGTAGTAAGAACCTGACAACCATCGAAATCCTTCTGGGAAATTTACTTCTGTACATTTACGTTCAGCTGTGGTTAGATATCCGTAAGCTACATGATGGGTGTCTTCGTCGAGTATATTAAATCCCATTCTTGCTAATAGTACCATGATATCAATGAATGATACCATGACATCTGTTAGTGAAACGGTTCGTTTGTTTGCTGGATTGGGCTACAATTTTTTTTTCTGCTGTTAGTCAAATGAGCGTTGATACTAAAAAAAAAAAAAAAGCTCGTTTACCTTTTTCTTTGTAAGGATCAAACTTGCCGGTAAAACATCACTACATAATTGAAGCACCGTGTTTAATTGAGCCATGTTGGTGTTCCATGGGCCGAAATCACTCGGTGTAATGAGTTCTCCTTGACGAGGCGGAGTTTTGTATGGATTGTTGCAATTTTCTTGAAGTGCTTGTTTCGTTTTATTCGAGACAAATTCATAAAGGTATTTGGCGCTCTGTCTAAATCCGTCGATACTCTTGCATAAACTATAAAGAGCCCGCTCCGTGTGTTCGTTTTGAGTAGGTGACTTATCCAAAGTTGCAGAGACAGCATTTAAACAGGCAATAATTTCGTCGAAGACACCATTAATATCCATAACTTGTAGAGTAAAAAGAAAAAGAAAAAAAGAAGGCATTAGCTAAACTTTACTTTAGTATCATTTCTAAATACTTACATGTGTCATCCGCAACCATTTTGTCCATTTGTAAAGAGGTAAGTGCTAGCTTGGCATTCGTAGCATACGCAGCATGATAGAACGAACACTTGTTAGGGGTCAAGATAATTTGCACCAATGGACGTATCATAAATTTATAAGCAAAAAACAAGCCCTGGTGGCTCTTTGTTTTCTGGGAGACATACGCATAATATTCACACAGGATAAAATATGAATCCAGCTCCATCTCATTATGGACATCAGGATTCAAGTCTTCCAAAAAGAGCTTACACCGTTCTTGTACTTCGTTATAGCTAGTGTGACTGGTAGCCTTTTCATAGGTCATGCCGATACGAACCATTCGATCCATTACAGGTTTTAATGGTGATGTGCCTGATAGTTTGATGGTGTTTAAAGCAACTGTCTGTAAATTATAACAATGAAAAGCTGCTGCTTCTATATGAGTGTATAAACTGGGTAAGTGCGTGTGTGTGCATCAATATTTCTTCCTCTGAAAATACCTGTTAATGGATACTTGTTGGCAGCCTTGTATAACAGTCGTTGAAATGAGTCCAGCTGTTTTTTAGCGGTCTCTGCATCAATTTTGTAGAGGTGTTTACTCCAATCGATAAAGTTGCCAGATTTTTCCATGAAATAAGGTACGTATTTTGCTAATGCATTATCTCCTACTTCACACCAACAACGAAGTGCATTCATCTGATAGGCCAGAACTAATAAAACCATAGTGCGGTCGTTGATGGAAGTGTCGTACGGAAATTGAAACAGGTCTTGGTATTTGTACAGCATTTCTTGTTCCCATTGATTGCCAATCATCGAATCAGGCACAGGTGAAAATGAGCGTTTATAAGTGGACTGGTTATTATCTTGAGTTTCCGCAAGTACTCGCTTCTTTGGAATTGTCTTTGATTTGTTGTCAACTGTCAGTTTTGAGTCCAATTGAACTTTGGCCACACTGGCCAAGACAGAGCGAAATTTCCTTAACTCATCCAGTGCACGGTTATACTAACAATAAGAATTAATTTTTTTAATTGTAATGAAGTCGCTTATTGACTTTACCTCGCCAATATCCACCATTTTTCCAATCAAATTTGATGTAGTTTTTTCGATGTCTAAAGGTTTCAAAGTTGTGTGTGTGTTCATATGTCGCAGCGCAGACAAAGCATAAAAAGACGTATCCACCAGACAATTGACAGTGATAACGTATTGTTTTGATTTTGAGGTTGTTCCCTTTAAGCTTGCAAGACTTTCAATATTTTGATTGACAATGCGCATGGCAAAGGGTGCTAATTGAGTTGCCATTTGCTTGAATCGAGCGGGTGTAGGTGGAGGTTTCCTTACTGCGTCAACTTTACTCAAGTCAAGCTGGAACGGTTCCAATACGGTCTGTCGAATCGTGAGGGCTAGATTGTCATTACAATGAGCGAGGTCCTTCAATTGTAATAATAGTTCTTTAATGTTTGCCATGACGTCTTTTAGAGAAATAAAGAAAAAAAAAGAAAATCAAAAGGCGCGTTAAACACTACACGTCCTCACCACCCGCTTTGTATTGTTGGGCCAGTCACGTGTTGCCGTGAGCCGTGTTTATATTTTAACATGAATCCCAAGTGTTTTCTGTATGTTGTAAATAATTTCCTTCTCATTTTAGCACCTGAATATTCTGATATAATTTATGAGTTGAAGGCCTTGCTTCAATCTGTGAATTCATTTTTATTTAATTATTTTGCCAGTTACAAAAATGTTATTTCTAGAAAGACAAGATAAGCATGAGGAAATTGATTACAAGTTGAAAAGCTATGTTTTCTTCAAGGTAGCATTGGTGGTTATTTTTTTTTTTTTTTTTTTTTAAAAAAAAATCCAAATGTATCCGTGATACATTTTATTGCATGTAATATAATGACATCTTATTATTGGCAATAACAATAGCATTAACCACAGATTAATATAATATGGATTATGATCGTGTAACCTAATTCGACTATAGTAAATATGGCTAAATATCACAGAGCATGCGCCACTTTTTTTTTGGATTCGAGCTAGCATCGAGCTAGCATCGATCGTAGCTCGCTCGGTTGTAAAATTGATAGTAGTCACTTTGAATTGTGGAATTATCGATCCATGTTATTAGACAGAGTACAACTCCCTTTACCATTTGAAATCATCTGCGAAAGAGAAAGAAAAGCAGGTGCAACCGTGGGACATGCTTTGTATGCAGGCATACTGCTGACAGGTGGACCTACAAGGGATTTTTACCTGACTACTGACACCATGACCCATTTAAATCCTATTATCAAGTTACCCAAAAGATCCACACTAAACCGAAACCATCAAACACTCATGGATTCACCTTATGCTACGATCACAAACATTTCACTTGTAGATCATGTTAAGAAAGTAAAGCGGCCTTTTAATTTTCCAACACGAACGAAATCGAGATTATATCAACGGTTATTAACAAACATACCCTTCACTCAGTCTTATAAAATTTCGAAATCACATTGGGTTCCACAAGGTGTCACACGTATCCTGGAAGATATACCTTCTGAGCAAGTCATCAAAGATTAAGTGATTTCTTCCTTACATTTTTTTTTAAAAAAGCGATACATCTTATCAGGAGTCCGAGATGAATATTTTGGATTCAGTGAATTTGTATCATCCACAAGTAGTTTTCTGCTATGGACATTATTGGCTATCATTATGGCCAATGGATCAAATGTTATTTGAGGATATATCTTTTAAAAAACGAGTGAACATTTATTATTTTTTAGGGGATACACTCCATATAATATTAGGCCATTAGCACAATGTATATGAACTCAATCCCTTATCCGTGCAATTTTTACATCGTACCTCAGACTTTTATATGATAGCATGGTAGGGATATGATCATTGTGTTTCTCATCATCAGCATTTTTACAACATCCATCAAATGATTCGTAAAAGAACAATACCCATTATTCTACGTAGCCTATATTTTCCTGCGAAGCGCCACTCCTTTGTTTGTAGAGCAATCTTCAGTGAGGTGGCAAAATCAGGTTCTCTTTTCTCATTTGCGTTTTATCAAATAAATTTGCGACTGGATGGACAAAACTAATAGAACAGTTGTTGTTTCATCCAATGTAATCTATTTGAGAAGCTCCATAATATTGTACTCAGGGTAAAAGGGTATGGTCTTCAAGACCATGTAACTAGATTCTTCAAAAAAACAAAAAACGACACCTAGGGTGCGCGTTGACACTGCCTTTTCCTTCCCACAAATACGCAAGAAATACTGTTGTAGTAACCTTTGCCAATGTTGCGCCACTCTTAAACCTAGGCTACCAAGTAATTACTCAAACACGGGACTTGATATTCTGTACTCTAAGTTTTTCTACGTTGTTTACATCTCCATACACTAGTGTATAAGCAGTTTGTGACAGTACTTCTGAATTTATATTGAAACTTGACTTATAGACATACTGAACATATAGAATGTACTTCGTACTATAACTCATAAACACTGGTAAAATACATTCATGAAGCTGGGCCTTATCTTCTATTATCTTTTTTTTTTTTTTTTTTTTTTTTTTTTTTTTTTTTTGTCAAAATAGGTGTAGCCAAAAGAGATTTTACGAAGATATAGACTTTGACATTGCAAGACATGTACTTTTTAGGTTCTTGTTTAAAGTACATTGAAAATAATCGCGAGTGTATACGTCTAATGTAAATAGCAACGAATATGTTGGAAAGCATGAGTCTTTGTAGTAGAAATATTGCTGTTGCTTTTGAGTCATGTAAGGGTAAATGGGAGCGACAGGAGAGCATTACTGTTAAAAAATGTAAAACCAGACTTTTTTTTTTTTTGATAAAGGCAATCTATAATCTCAAAACACGACACTGGTTTAATTATTCTATTCCAGACAAGTTGCTTGAAATGCGATTGGTCAACTATAATTTGGCTTTTGATGTTACACTTTACTTTTAAAAGTCTATTCATGCGTGTGTTATTCATGTCATCTATTGTCCTTTTATGCTGTCACTCAGTCCTATATCTATGGGCTGCCTGTAATTCACTTTCTACGTTCTATTAGCTAGTAAAAGATGATCGAAATGCTATGCTGAAACAGATCGATCATCTTGACAACCCTATAATTGAGGGAATATGTTTATTGATACACAAAAAAAAAAAAAAAAAGTAGACTAAAGTAGGGAGTAAGATAATTTTATTTACAGCAATATGTAAACAAAACATAAACAATTTTCAAAAGAAAATGAACATCTTTTACAATAAAAACGCTATCCATGCAAAAGAAAAAAGATGCAAGTGCATCATGATTGTAGGATTTTCATCATTGAGAGTAAGCTTTTACTTGTATACATTTATCAAAAGCTATACTCTTTGTTTATCTGATGTCATAATGAATTAATATTCTCTCGCATGAAGAGATTTTATTTTCTTGGCTGAAACAGATAAACAAAAAATCAAAAAAAATCAAAAAAAAAGGTATAAAAGACAGACAGATTTTAACTTTTAGAAAAAGTTTGAGACGATCATCACTTAATAACGGCGCCTATACTTAGTGATGTGCTGGCGAGTAATCTTTTAGAGAACTCTTTGGGACCTGGAGACGTCTAGTATCTTTGGGGGACCTTCTGGTGAGCTTTTCAGTGTTGCATGGTATATCTTGATGTGAATGGGGTAAGTGTCTAAAACCGGAGGGAGTATGTGGGTTGTTGGATCTTGTGGCTGTGAGGAAAATTCTCCCGTGGGTGTTGCGTCCCCTTTACCGGCATCATAAATCCTGTAGTGATCGTTGGGGTGTATCATGTCCGTTTCCGCTATTGATTTTCTATACATCTTCTATACCGCCATAAAGATGCTGTATACTTTTTGTATAATGGGGCAAGTTTCTCAAAATTAAGGTAATCTACTGCTTATCAGTATGGTTTTTTTTAGGTTTTCTGCTCTTTACGCTCTCGTCTTTTCTTATAAATAAAAGATTCGAGAAGGGAATGCATAGATACAAGCCTCCGCGCGGCCATTCCCGGGCAACACTCTTCTTTTGTAGAGTGGCTAGTGTGTATCTCTTTTTTTTTTGTTCTTTAAATAAAACATGTGCTTTTTAAATATTAAAATAGTCTTTTCATTTGTTGTCTTACATAAAAAAATAAAATAGATAGTGATCAATACAGTAGAGTAGCTCACCCAACGTTTACCATAAACTTGACGCGAGTGTCAGAAGCAGGAAAAATAGTTTTAATAAAGCTCGTCATCAATGAAAATCTGGGTGGCAAGAAGAATAAAAAAACGTTTAAAGAAACCCATTTAGATCTAACGGACACACAAACGGACAACTTCACTGGTCAAGAGCGAAAGCACTAGCCAACACTTAACTGAATTGAAGGAATTTAGACGATGAAGCAAGTTCTTTAGTGGGAAGTCTACAATGTAAAGCTCAACTTCAAAATCTGCAAGCTCTCCAAGTTCTTCTACACTGTGAGTGCATGAGTAAGATGAAGATGCCCCACTTTTAACCAGGAAGTAGACAAATGCTTCATAAAGTCAGGTTTATAACAGCCACCTTTTGCAGCGCTCATCAGAACTGCTGCTTAACACTATTTGCTTCCCCTTTTTTTTATTTATTTATTTTTGTCAAATCCGACAGAAAGAACCTACTCTGTATACTGCTTTGTGATAGTTTATTAGGGGAACGAATTTTCTGGGTGGGGGTGGTCTTGGCTTAAGACACTCTTCTAAATAATTACTGGGCACCCAACCCTCTCGGTCCTTAATTCGAGCAAACCACCAACCTATTCAAACTTTAAGTCTCCCCTCTTTTTCAAAATCCCCTCCTTATATTATTACCATTGTCAGATTTCTCTATAATCTGCATTGTATCACCTATCTGAAAATGTAGCTGGCTGTCTTCTTGAGACTCAAAAGTGTAGATTGCCTTATAAACAGGTAAGGATGGCATAGTTGGGCTGCGTGGTGGTGGAACAGGAATAGAGGGTAACGGATTTCTTCCTGTATTATACGTGTTATCTTCTGTAGCTGCTACAGGCGTACTGACTTTGATATTAGTTATAGGTCTATTTGAGTTGGCTTTAGATTGACTATTCGTTATGGTCCCAGCCCTTGTTTTTCGTGAAGCAGGAGGTCGTGATTCTTTAACAAATTTTTTTTTAGAGCTCAAAATCAAGTCTATTATATTTTGTAAATAGGTAATGTTAAAACTAACATTTCAAGGGTAGGTACAGCTTTCAATAAAACTTTGCCCTTACACACCGTTCCTATGACTACCAATAATAAAGTCATTAAATCTTCCTGTCGACACGGGGTTCCTTGTTATTCTAAAAGTAGCAGTAGCGAGACCCATTGATTCAAGCGCAATCAACATATGTATGCCTAAACATTATAGAAACAAGGCGTAAATTGGTTGTCTAGATCTTTTGATCCTGAACTGTTCATGCAAGCACAGATAATCAGAGATTCATTCTTTATTATCATAAACGTATTCACACATCAATTTGTCAATTCCTATTTTACTTTTTTTTTTTTTTGAATTTGAATTTGAATTTGACTATTAATCCTTTCTTATTTAGAAGGATTTCTTCGCTATTTTTTATTCTGTCAGACCAGATGAAATTCGTTCTTCCAATAGATCTTTTTCTTTTATTTATTAAACCGTTCTTTTCGTTCCTCCTTATAAATTTATCGATAGATTACATAAGCCAGCCAATCACAATTATACCACATGCTAAACCAACCTAACAAATTTAGCAGAAATGCATATATAGAGTATGAGCTAGGAAACATACCTATCAAGATTAGTATTTTTACTAAAGGCTTACAACACCAGCAACTGACTGGTATTATCTTGATCGCTAAAGTAGAGAGGACAGTAAGCGCTTTTTTAAAAATTACACTGACTGTCAATGGAATAACGCGGCACTTGAGCAGGCTGCAAGTACGTCTGTAAAGTCTTATAAAACAAGAAAGCAGTACCTTAAAGCAACGTGTGCTATATATATATATATATATACGTACGGGCCAAAGCAAATAGTGCATAATATATGGTTGAGCAGTATCGAAAAGTGACACGTCGGTAGACTGTGACCACGAATTTCGTGATACTCCATCAACCTGAGGAAAATCGAGCCTGTATCTTCTTTCAAAAAAAAAAAAAAAGAATATAGAATTATGGAGTTAGCCAAGACACCCGATTCACCATCATTATCGATTTCGAATAAACCCAACAAACCTCTTGCTTCGAAGTTAAGCAAAGTTTTGAACTCTTCTGCTTCCGAAGATGCCAAAATAAAGGCTGCTTTAACTTCACTTTCCAACATTCCCGACCTGGATGAATCCAACTTGAGAAGAAACTTGCGTGGCACCATTGAAAAGAAGGAAATAGAAACCAATAAGAAGTTTTTATCTGCTTTTAAGAAAGTCGTCAAAGTAACAACCCCTTTTTTTCCCCCAATGAAAAGGATAAAGCTGACCCCCCCCTTTATTTCTATTTTTTTATTTACTTGAATAAGCAATTCGAATGTCTTGAAACTCAAATGGGACAAATGGAAAATGTCTGCAAAGACATGAAGCAAAGATTAATTAATGCAGAATCTCAAACTGCTGATATGATTGAACAAGCTGATATTATGCAGGAACATAGGTAAAAACCACCTTTTTATTTTTTTTTTTATTTTTTTTTTATGTAACACCCACTGTCGTTAGCTCTGCCTGTTCAACTCAAATCGTTGTAGCAGACAGGTTCCTGGAAAAATTCACCTTAAACGAGACCGAAATAAGAATATTAAGTGTCCCTTCTGAACCTATCAATAATGAATTCTTTGACGCTTTAAATCATCTTCAACAAATCCATAGTGATTGTCAATTACTGCTTACCACAAAAAACCAAACAGCCGGGTAAAAAAAAAAAAAAAAGAACAGCCAATCCATTTTGGTAAATTAACTTTTTTTTTTTTTTAATCATAGCCGAGAAATTATGGAATCTATGGCTGTGATACAAGAGAATGCCTATGACAAATTATACAAATGGACACAGTACGAGAGCAGGACATCCTTTGGCGGTGATAGTATCGACGTGAGCTCCTTGATGACCAAAGCTCTTCGTGCATTAATGCTAAGACCAGTATTATTCCAGTAAGTTCAATTTATATGTGTGGAAAGAGAGTACCTGTGCTAAAACAAAGGGATGTAGAACAATCTTGGACGAGATTGCATCAGCGAGACACGACGCTGTAGCAAGGGCATTTATCAATGCATTGACAAGAGGCGGACCAGGCGGAACACCCAGACCTATCGAACTACAAGCACCAGACCCACTTCGATATATTGGCGATATGTTGGCGTGGGTACATCAAGCGTGTGCAGGAGAAAAAGAAATGTTAGAAAGTTTATTCCAACGGAACGTCGAGAAATATGAGGATTTGAGCGGTATCACTGTGCGTGTGGCAGATACCATCGGTGATTTATTAGATTGTGCAATGGAAGGTACTTGTAGACCCTTAAAGTCACGTATGGAGCAAGTCTTGTTATTACAGCCTGGCGCTATTACTTCTTACAAAGTAGCTAATTTGATCCAGTTTTATACCGTGACTTTGTGTAAATTAATGCGAAAGAGTGCGACTTTAGAAAAAGTCTTGTATGAGTAAGTGGATGTGCTTGATTATATAAAGTGGTTTTACTTATCAGGTATAACACAGAATGACAGAGCTTGCGTACAAGTACTTTTTTAAGACATTGAATGCACAAGCAGAGAGATTGATGCAATCAACAGAGGTATAAAGGGAGATAATATACGTTGTTCATATTTATTTATTTCTTAACAAACTAGCCACCGAGCCGCAGTCTATCAATTGCGCCTACAGTGAGAGATATGACAATTCAGTTGGTAAAAAAAAAGAAAATTTGGAGGTTTTTTTTTTGACCCAGGTATACTAAAATCTAGTGTGATAGAAAGAAATTCTGGCATCATATGATTCATCTTTGATTGTGGCCACCAATAACACCGAGGGATTTCCAGAATTCGATTTTGCAGAGACTTTGGATGCGATTATTGAACCATTATTAAATACATGTGAGCTGTCTGTAAGCAGGATGAACAAGATTGATCAAGATATATACATGGTCAATTGTTTGTATCACATAAACGTAAGTTATTACATGCTGAAATCAATTCCTCAAACTAATCACATGTAAGCAGAATGTTATGGTTCCTTACTCCTTCACCAAGCAAAAGAGAGAAAATGTTACGGCACGCATGAATGATCTCTTAAGTGAGATGGCTTCTGAAGAGGTATATTATAGACACGAATGAAGTAACTAAATGTTAACTTTAAGCATATGCATATAGTACCAACAATTGTTAAAACAAGCTGGATTGACACAAATTACCGAGGCAATCAGCACCAAGGACCCCAAGGTAAATTATTATGACATGTTTCTCCAAAATGCATGCAAATATTTACATACTTTATTTTGTAGACCCCTCTGTCTTCATTACCTAATATGGATGCAGAGTCGCTTACCAATGCCATGGCCAAATTTGACTCATTCTTAGTTTTGATGAGCGCGGATGTTTCACCACAACTGGAAAAGCTTTCTTCTACACAGCACTGTCAACAAGTACAATCAGGTGCAATTCGATTATTATTAGATACATACCGTGAAATCAGCAGACAAATACAGGATCCCAACAACGGATATGAAAATCCAGACGCTATTTTACCTAGAACCATACAAGACATGGAAGCTATTTTTTCATTTGCTCTTTAAACAAGTTTTAATCCATATGAATTCATCACAATAAGAGGGGGAAATTACCGTTATTTGTATACAGCAGAAGTTGATCTAATCTCAGCTGTAAGGATTCAACAAGGAAATAAAAAGTTTACATACCTTTTGTATGATACAGTCAGATGTAAAGCTACGCTTAAGCTGAAGGAGGTAATTTTATTGGTTACACTGTATTGAGTATGGAGAGTATAAATGTGTGTATCTTCCTATGTATGTTTCTACCTATGCTTAAGCCAATTGAACAACCAAGGTCGCATCGACGTAATAATGTGTGTTGTGCTAACACTCTCTGCGAATATCCTATGCAAGCAAGCAGCTGGCGTCTGCGCCCGGACGGTTGACAGCGGTGCCCATAATAAATGTACCCAGAATGTTTGAGATGCCTAACCCAAAAACTTGTTATATTCAAAACAGAGGTATTTAAAGAGGAGTGGTATAATTAAATCTGATTATAATTGTACACCATGTTTTTGAAGAAATACATATTTTATAAATCAATTCGAACAGGGACAACGAGATTGGCACGGAGAAAAAAAAAGGAATTGCCGACGCTTATGCGCAATGTTTCTGAAAATAGCGTATGTACAATTCATCAATAGCAACTTCATACACGTTGATTTAAAACCACAAGAAATATTTTGAATTAAGAATTTGTGTTTTTTGAAATGTGGATTATATTATTTATATATACGGTGGAATGAAAAGTGGTGTGTTTGTGTGAGTGGGAAGGAGGAGGAATAAAAAAAAAAAACTGTACACAGAAAAGAAGTAAAGGATTTATTGTTGTTGTGCCTCAAACTTGATACGCGATTGAGCAAAGAGTAATTCTTGTTGTCGTAGTAATTCTTCTTCTGAAATACCAGTATTTTCTAATCGGGTGCTCTTCTTATCTCGGTCCTAAAGATGATACACTGAATTAAAAACCCACCATTTCACATACATCATATATGCTTTTTTTTTTTTTTTTTACCTTTTGTTGTTTCTTATGTTCTTGGAATACATCGTCCACTTCCTCTACATACTCTTCAAAGCCAAGTGTCTTTAACGCAGCAACAACGTGCTCACCTGCAATCGTCTTTTTAGTCTCCTTTTCACAAATCTCGTTTGCCTCAGAAGCAATTAGGTGAATAAACTCTATTAAACGCCAAAGTAAATACAAGAAGCCTATAAGACAACACTACTACTACTACAAAAAAAAAAAACTTACCGACGCAACAATCTATCAACAGATCGCGTGTGTCTTTAGAACAAATAATATCGTCCGGCATCATTTCATTGATTAACTTTTGCACAGTAGCTATATTTAAAGATTAGAACAAAGAACTAAAAGAACAATAGCGCTTAACTCTTTACCTTTAGGAAGAGAAAGCTCATCATCACCGGTTGGCCCAGAACGTTCGTTATCACTCATTTAATAGAAACTATAGGGCATACAAAAAAAAGAAAAGAGAGAGAGAAGAAAATCGGTTCTTTATATTTCTGCCTCCCAAACAAGGACATTTCGTGACCCCAAATTCGGTGGCTTTCATTAGCTATTTGGTGTCACTTTTTTTCTTTTTTTTTTTTTTTTTTTTTTTTGGTTTGCGGGGATTTTAAAAGGAGACATCATACACATCTTGATTGCAAAAGGACTTGGAAAGGAAATAATTCATTTAAATTGTCAATAAACGGAATGTTCAACGTCATTCATCTACTATACTCACAGTAAAACGATATTTTTATTGACCTGCATATATAACTATGAAATCACGGCTTGATTATGGGAGTTATTAAGCATTTCTGTGTTACTTCAGCGTTGTATTACTTCACGTATTAAAGCCATATGTATACAATTAATCCCTCAGCCGTCTTCATTATCTTTGACAGTTACAATTACTTATCAAAAAGTTTTTATTATTCATTCAGCATCCCCTTTGTTTTTCATTCACAATAGAGAATTTATCATGTGTTCTTAGATCTGGTGATTAAAAGCAGAGAACCTGAAAAGAGTTATCGTATCTAGGCTATGTTAAAAATAGAAAACTCTGGGTCAAGTACAAAACAGAGCCATAACCACGCGGTCTCGATCTATCACATATCGCTTTCTCACCACCTTGAAACTACAAATGCAGTTGAGCTTTCTTAAATTAATCCAAAGACATTTTTTTTTTCTGATTCCAAAATGTTCTTCTGTTTATTTGTGTCATCGTTCTACATCAACACGTTTTTATTCAAAAAAAAAAAAAAAAAGATTCCTTTTATGACACTGTTGTTTTTCTAGCTGCTCTACATCAATTACGTTAAATGATGATACCCTGGTTGGAATACATAAAGATTCGATACAAATGCTCAAAAAAACACTAGAGTCGAAGTTAGTTGATCATGAATTTATCTTGTGGTAGCTGAAATCCAGTTTAGCTACCGCAATGAGTGATAACAATATGTCATCGGTATTAAATACGTATCAGTTTTATTAGCAATTATATTGGAAAGCACTCAATATTTGTAATAGTAAGAAAAATTTGTAGATGCTGTATCATATGATATTCATGTTTTTGTTCAGAAAGCTTAATGGTAACAATGATAAATCAACCCAAACACAGCTAAAAAAAATAAATAATCAACATTAGCATCATTGAGGAACGCACGGCCTTTTTTTTCTGTTCAGAGTGTGACAAAACTAAAGTCACAACGGTTCTCCTGATTAAGTTAATGCACAATCGTAACGAACAAAGAGCTTCTGTTGTCTTTGTCAGAGCTTATTTAATGTACGCATAACTTTAATAAAGGGTGCATGGCTCATTATACAACACGCTATAAAATCCTATCGGTTAATTCATGACTTTTTTTTGTTTTTGTTTGCATCATTTTATCATTAAAGGAATTACCGTAGCATGAACATATCACAATTGCCGCATGAAATTCTGAGCCGTATCGTGAGTTTTTACCTCGAAGATCAATGTTTCAATGCATGATACTCAAAAAAAGCTGGTACAACATTTCGTCCAGTCTCTATTACAATCACCTGGTTTTGACACAAGAAAATCTGTTAATGTTGGAGTCCCTTTTATTTAAAACTGAAGGCCCCGATGATGCCAATTTGAAAAGCCATGGTTATCTTGTCAAAACATTGACTATCCACAATGACAATCCAAGCATGCTAAAGAATCCCCATAAGCTTTTGGGTACGATCGTCTCTTATTTCCCATTTATAAAGTGTTTAGATGTATCTCAAAGCAATGATCCCGTACCTTATCTACACAACTTGACTCATATCAAATCAGGAACAGCCCTGAACATTTTGGAGGAAATCAGAGTGTTTAGTAAGCATACTTTGTCTCCAGTAAACAGCACCCGTGTCAAAGATTACTATCTCGGTGCTATTTATACGTTTCGAATGACTTTAAGACACATTGAACTGTTAGACCCAATCAAAAAATTTAATGTTGGTGATCAACGAGGTTTGAACTATTTGCAAGTATTAGCCATGTTTAGAAAACTATCCCATTTGACGCTACACTACCACACTGAAGATAGAATTAACGCACTGTCAATATACGCCGAGGTCTTTACAGCTTGTCCTAAATTGCGTTCTTTTGACTACATCTGTGACGGCATGAAAGATACCATGGCATCACATTTGAAGCATCACCCATCGTCATGTATCAATAAAGTTCCCATTAAAATATATCCTGACTTTAGAACCAACACCCAACTGAATTCTTTGTCACTCTCCTTGCCTTCGCTAGACAAGCACCAGATGAAATATATCACAGAAGTTGTTCCTACTGCTCAAATGGAAAAATGTGAGATCTTGTTAGACCATGTTGACACCTTCAAATACTGGGCCGGTGAAATCAATATGCAAAAAGTCAAGAGATTTGGACACCATTTAAGTCTAGCCAAAAACCTAGTCATTCGTGTCAAACAAGGTTATACCAACCTTAATAAGCCCATCAGATTAGTACATCAATCAAAAGAGGTTAAAAATGAAATTCAGAAGGAGAGCCTCGTCAAGTTTTTGCATGCTTTACAAGGCAACCGTAAATTCGATCAATATAAATTGAATGTTGAATTAGTTGTCAGAAAGAAAGAACATGATTTCCAACAAATATCAGAAATCAATACGATTATAACGAACGACTCATTGTCCTTCCACCAAACCATTGATACCGACTACTTTTGTAAAACAAAACACAACATATTAACCACCAATTTTGCTGATGGTCAACTTTTATCTACCAAAATTAGGCATGTAACCATCCGTGTCGCGCGAAACGATTTGTCCAAGGTCTTGAAGTTTGTTCTAAAGCATTGTAAAAAAGCTGAAACAATTGTTTTAATTGTTGGAAGATCCCAAAGAGAAATGACCATTAATATTCCCGAGCAAAAGAAAGTCAAAGTGTTTGGTAAAACTCAACCCAAGTCCATGATGTTGAACATTCATTTTGGCACAGTCAGTCAAGCACTTTTATACGAGCTTATCTCTTTAATGCCTGGTCTCAACAAACTGGTATTACAGGGAATCGATGAGGAGAATTTGACAGAGTCCTTACTTGACTTTATCAAGGCAAGACGTTTAAAAGAGCTCGTATTTGAATTCGTTATAGGTGATCAGGAAGAGTCGCCTTTCTATATAAAGATGGGATTTTACAACACAAAAGCCAAGCGTGAAGAACGAGACTTTAGATGTCTTGTAGGAAACATACAACCAGCAAATATTCCTGAGGAAACAGTGTGTTTACCCGAATTAACTATTTGGCATACATCGATTGAAAGAGTTACCATGATCCATAACGGAAGAGCGCTCAAAGTCTTGGCTCCTCCTCTTTCAGAGAAAGGGTTCTTTAAGAAAAATAACTTTACTTTATTTGGATCTCAAGGAGACCAAATACTAAAAGGATTTAGTGGGTGCTTTAGGTTGTAGTTTCTAGTTTTTTTTTTTTTTTTGTCAGTTACATGTATTGCAATAAATCATTGTTTGAAATCGCTTTTTTTTTTGTATTCGAATTATGTGACTCTACACTCGTATTAGGTTTATCAAGAAGGCAACAACATACTAATGCAATAAAATATATAAGGGAAAAAAAGATAAGATAAAATAATGCACCTTATTTCTTTTAGGGTACGATTTGTTGAGGAAAAATTATATATTCCACTCTATAGAAAGAGCTCGAGTAGGGGTACACACAGCCTCCAAGAAGCAGCCTTTTTCATAAGATACGCATTTTTGTATTGCAGTTTACTTTAGCCAAGGTAAAGTGGTGGATGATATCAAGATAGATGCATGTTATCAATTGCGAATATGGTAATATAGCTGCTTCTTTGAGCAGATATGCTTCATTGTACTCAGCGTGCTTAGTGTGTGTGAGTTATTCTTACATTGAGTCGACTAGAACATTAATATAAAGCATCAGGCGTTAAACGCCCGCCAAGTAAAAAGTATATCCTATTTATCACAACCTGTTTATTGAGCTGCCACTAAAAAAGATATACAGTTGTTTTTAACAAGATTATTTTTATTTTGTACACGGAAAGGAAGGTTGGGGAGGTTGAGTGGTTGCAAAGGAAATATCTAAAGTTCTTGTCTCTTTGCAGCTGTTCTGGTAAAGGCTGACAATTGCCATTCTACATCTGCGTCTGTTAAATCTACTGTTCCGAGTCTGATCTCATAAGCTAATTAAAGAAGAATGGGGTTTAGTAAGAGCGATGTTTATGCCAGCAGCTTATCTTTCACTTACGTCTCATTTCAAAACGAGGACCAACTTCGGCCAATTCGACTTGGTTAGCTGCTTTAACATAAACATGATGTCTGTATGAAATATAATCATTATCGTTCGAGAATGTCATGACACGCTTTGTATCGTCTTTTGGAACAGGGAATAAGAATTTTAAGATATTGGTAATCTACAATAAATCGATTTAATACACGTATGGATTATAGATTGATATCAAGACTTACTCTGGCACCTAATTTGGAATTGAAGTTTTCGAATATTAAATGAGGGAATGCCTCAGACACTGTTCCTTGATCCTTAATATCATGACGAAGAACAACGTTATGTAAAGAAAAGTAACATGTGGGGCCATAGGGGAAATGACTGACAATCATACCATCTGGTTGACCACGATGTTCATGCAATACAATTAAATCTGTCACTTCGTTGGCTCTACAAGCATCGACAATTTCCTTCATAACATGTCCACCACGGTTGATACGTTGAGAGTTGGGAAATACAAGACGCATTTCCTTTGAAAACTGTTGTAAACGACTACTGGGATCTCTGGATGTTGTAATAAGAATCTTGGGGTCGAAAACACCACCGCGAGCATATTCATCATCCTCATGTGTGGAAGGTGCTATTATACAGGTTACACCACCGCTCTCTTTTTTTTTTTTTTTTGATTTATTCTTACCTTCTTGAGCTTGATCGTAACCGAGATCTTCCTTTGTAGATTTATCCATGTCTCTTAATTCGGTGGGTAAACGCTTTCCTTCTATTCAATTGTTCAGTACATTGCAAGTCAAATTTCACCACGGCAATATTCCCCCACTTACGTTCAACTGCGTCCTTGATCTGTTGCTTACGATCATAGATTGTGCGTTCCTTGGATTCAAGGGATTTCTTATAGAGATATTCTCTACGAAGACGAGTATTTCTACGAATCTAATACTACATTGTTAGACCATGAAAGTTAATCAATACTTGATAGTACCTTACCATTTTAAATGTGTCAACTTGTCTGAAAAGTGTAAAAAAAAAAAAAAAAAAATTATATTTTATGGAAAAAAAAGAAAAAAAAAAGCATCACCCTTTCGTGACTTTGTTTTGCAGAAACTGATGAGTTTGAAACAAAGTTGTATTTGACTTGTTTATGCAGAAGGGGGACGTGCTTAAAAATAACACCATCATTTCTAAGCTTTTGAGCGAGGAAAGTGCCCATGTTGATCGTCTATTTCAACTTGAGAAATACAGCATGAAAAATTCTGATTAACTAAAAGTATTTGTTCCTATTAAACACAGATGTAAATTTTGTATAAATCAGTGACAGCAATTGATAAAAATGAAAAAGGTCTGGTTAACACATACTCTCCCTGCAGTAATCCAAATTCCTTTATTTACATAGCACCTACACATAAGTTACTACTTTAAAAAAAAAAATCCGATATTTTTTAATTCTCCAGAGTCTCAAATTCAACCCGTCCAGTGACTGCGCTTGAATTACAGAGCCATTGTGCTCTTTTGGGATTTGGTGAAAAAAAAAAAAAAAAAAAAAAAAAAAAAAGAGAGAGGAATATTTTCTTATTTTTTGTTGTTGTTTTCTCGACGACATACCATTAAGAGCTCTTTTTTGAAATGAGTTTTGCTGTTCACGATAGTCAACCTACACAAGCATGGTAAAATATCCTATAAAAAAAAAAAAAAAAAAAAAAAAAAAAGAAAAAAAAAAAAAGAAAAGGCTAAATTCATGTGTAATAGGACTGGGATGCATTCCAAGAAGAGAAAACATGCAGTGATAAGTCGACATGAGAATAACGAGATTCATGATCTTCGTTCTAATACCCTTGAATCATCAAGAAAAGAGCCCACTCGAGTTGTGTATAAACGTACTACGCCTACTCAAAGTCGAGGAGCTTCACCTGACTCTGGTGTCTCGACTGTGAATCAATTCTTGATCGATGGCAATGCACCAGTTCAACCTCATCCGACATTAGTAGCTAAAAAGACAGAAGTACGCCATGGTCCTGGTAGACACAGATCAGTTGACATAAAAGGACTTATTATGGAGTTGATTGATGAAACATATCCTCCTACGGTTTGCCCTACATGTTTATATACGGCCTCTGGAAGGTCCGACGCCGATCTACATTTCAAAACTGAACATCATGGAAACAAAGCATTCAAATGTGTGGACCCTACCTGTGAGCAAGCTTATTCCTCTAAGCCTGGTTTAAGATATCATCTGGAACATGCTCACAAGGTTACTTTAGTCTCGGATACATCAGAAAGGTAGACTTCAACCCTAAATAGACTTCATATACCCCTAATACCCTCCTCCCTTCTTTCTCTTTAGTCCACGAAGATCAGATCGATGTAGTACATCATCACCTATAACAAGAGAATCAAACAAGAAATTAAGAAAGCAAGAGGTATCACCACATCTCCAGCAAAAATTGGATGAGGTATATGATGTGACCACTTGCCCTTCCTGCAGAGAGAAATTTAAACGCAAGACACACGTTATTCGACATTTGGTTGAAGTACATCATGGAGAAGAACCTTATAGATGTATTGTTTCTGGTTGTAAACGTACAAAGGCATATGCTACTAGGGAAGGGCTTGTTTATCATTTAGTTAGCTATCACGACGAATTGCAACAATCACAATAATAAAAAAAAAGAATTATATTTAGAATACATTTTTTTTTTATTAATTAAATGAACAAGTGGTAGAGGGTATAATGTTGTGTATCTAAGGAAAGAACTGGCCTAAAAGAGGTTTATCTTTTTTATTTGATAAATTTCTTAATAACGGAGCCGAAGATGATTGTGTTAAATGTGACGTACCAGATCTTCTACTTGATATCGTTCCAAAATCAAATCCATGAAATCCATTTTCATAGCTTTTAGAGTGTAACATTTGACCATGACCAGACGATGGATGATGATGGGCTCTGTTTAATTCTGCTCCAAGTGATGTTTCCCACACCTTAAACATGGTATCTGCCAAACCATCAAATCCAGACCGTGCTACCTTTCTGCTAGCCATCTCACAAGAAAACTTTAGTGTAGTTAATAATGTATGTCCGCGACTCATACAGTAAATAACTCCCCCTATGAAGGTATCTCCTGCACCCACTGTATCCACAACGTGCGCTTGTGCCAGTGCCGAGGATTGAAGGATCTCTCCCTTGCATAGACATGTGGCTCCCTGTTCTCCCCATGTACAGAACAAAATGGCTCTACATGCATGACAACCAATTAGTTGTTGTTTAACAATTCATATGTAGTGTTATATTACCCTGGTTTACAACGGCCTTGATTATCTCTTAAAAAGTCTTCGGCTTCATCATAACCACGCTTCGTTGCATATAGCTTTGAAAAGAATATAACATCACCCTATTATTTACAGAAAAAAAGATTAGCACATGCAATAATAAATCCAACTGATAAGGAAACAATTACTCTTGTTAATAATATATCTATATGAGGCCTATCTGGTTTTTCTAATTCAACAGATATCGTGAGTTGAGATCTCCAGCCTTCACGTGTCGCTTTAGCTTCAAGCCAATCAATCTGTGCAGCCGTCTCATACACATTTCTACCTTCGAAATGAACCCAAGAATAGGCTGGTCTGGCATCAAATTCAAATGACATGGTCTTTGTGATGCTACTCATTTCAAATTTACGAGCAAATTCATCCTTGGTGATATCTTGTGTTCTAAATAATTAATATATGAGTACAAACATTATAAGCAAAAATTTTAATCATATTCTTGTTGCACGTTACGTATTGCAAGAAATAATTGTTCGAGAACCAGTGTCTTTGCATTGTAGAATATAACACGAAGGAGTAGGTGATTTACGATAGAAACATGTATGCGTCTTTATACCCTTTTGTTCAAGCTGAGAAATAAGTTTACTAAGAACGACACATAAAAAGTCAGCATCCATATTCTATTGTCTTTCTTTTGTTTTAGATTAGAACACGTACTGTGATTGTTCTTTGGGTCCAACTGCAGACATAATGGATGTATTCATTTTAGGAAACTGTGATAATACTTCGGCAGTGTTTACACAATTTCCACCTCGTCTTTGCTGTGTGTGGCTTGATCTCACCTTAGTATCCTCTTGTGGATAATAATCCACAGTCATGATCGTATCCTCGTATACTTGACCCACCACAAGTACATTAACAAGTTTCGAATTCAAAGATTCAGGTAAAACAGGTGACATGGGCTGATCAAACGAACTCGATCTTGACGCTGAAACGGATGAACCTGAAGAGCATTCGTCAATAACAAGTCTGCTTCTTGTCTTTCTTTTGCTGAATGAAAAAACCATGCTGTATAATGGAAGGTGGTGCAATAAAATAAATAAATGATAAAGAAATCAACTTGCTTGAAAGAAAGGGGAGCTGTATTTATACCTTTCTTCCACGTGGGGTTACACTAAACCAAAAAAGATCTAAAAATGTGTCACTTTTTATTTGCCTTTCTACTTGCCCGAAAATATAATTGAGGAGAGAAACACTCCCAAAACTAGAAAAAAAGAGGAGCTATGCAGGAGTGTGAATGTGTACATTGTGTTAATCCACACTGTTTTATATTTAGGCATCTCCAAATATCATTTGTGCGAGTCACCAGAATCATTTTATTACCCGCATTGGCTTTAAAAAAGATCAGTTTTATTCGTCGGCATAAAAAGATGCTTTATTTTTAACTTTGAATCGAATGAATTCCACCTTTTTCTCTTGAACCATCATCCTAATTATGCCTGTTAATTTATTGATACATTAAGAAGACCCAGGTTGGAAAGGTCTTTTATCAATAGGGGTCAAGGCCATATCAAAATAAAAAAAGTCATTCACAAGCATATACTCTAGGCATCATGCCTTTTTCTCTTTCCTTAAGCATTAAACTTTCCCATGCGTGCAGCAGGCGGTACTTATTACCTATCATGTGTGAAGTTAGACATGATTTTATTCCGTCAACAGTAAATCAATAATAATAATAAATTTATATTTCAAAGTTATCCATTATGGATGGGTATTGGGTGCAATGAAAATAATGAATACTAAACCAACCACTTAAAATGACCGGGTATACCTTATTTATTATGACCGCTTGCAAATCGATGCATCTTTTTTATGTTTCTGACGTGATCCCATCTAGAAATAGATTACTTCATAGTTGGCTGCACGCGTATTCTGTTTAGTATTAATTAACCTACATCTCATGAAATCACAGAGACATCGACGTTTACTTTCGTTTCCACGTTGGTTTCTATATGATGTCATGTCTGAATTTATCTTTTACCGTTGTCTCTTTAGGATTTGGAATACAATAATATCATTTGAGGTATTATTGATATCGTGCTAAAAAGTATCTTAAGTGTAGTGAAAATTAATGCAACTAGTACATCCATTGATCAGGCAGCTTTGAACTAATGCTCATTACTGCGTTAACTTAAAAGGAGATTACTGCTCAATCCTTTTTATAAAACCTTTCACCCCAGATAGAAATCAACTGTCTACTCCCGGTTCGAAAAGAAAAAATATCTTTTCAACAGTGCTAAATGTGACTTTGTAACAGTAAAGTATTATTATTACATTTAGTATTGTATACATATGTTACTTCTAAAGAGTATTATAAAATGGATGTTCCGTAGAGTTTAATAAAGACGTGGGTTGATTGAGTTTAAAGTGAGCACCAAATCAATTAATAGGTTTTGATTAGACCTTTGTTATCGTATTGTTATTAAGGGAAAGAGAAAGGAACAATCAAGAGTTCGTAAAAGAATCAATGATTATATTGTATGAGTTATTAGGTTAACGATAAGCTTTTATCAAGACTGATTTAAGTATGTAATGGTACTTCAAAAGAGAGTTGTTTTACTATACAGGGTCTTAATTACGTTATGATGGTTCCGTTTAAGGATGTTTCTTAACGAATTTTAATAAAAGTAAATGATTTTGTTTGACGGAGTAAAGTGTGTACTGTTTCTGATTATAGAAAATAATAGAAGGTGTTCACACAAGGTCAGAAATATATAGAATGGTTCCAGATAAGGATGTTTTCTTATATATTTATACAAAAGAGAAAGTAGATATAGAAGAGTTTTTATTGAGACTGTTTAAAGTACGTATGTTACTATTCAAAAGAAAGTTGTTTACTGTACAGGATCTCGAGATTTACTGAATGGTTCTTATAAATTAAGATGTTTTCAAGTAAGTCTTTATAAAAAAAGAAGAAAAGAAAAAAAGAAAGAATAAAAATAAAGAAAGAAAGAAAAAGAAAAGGAAGTAAGAGCAAATATGGCTCGGTTATAGTAAGTTTTGTGAGAGTAAAATATGTCTGAAGTTTATTAAAAAAATGGAAGGGGTTATTTATAGTTGTTTTTGAGAATGGTGTAACCATCGTACTTTGAAAGCTCTTAATTAATGTCTATGTTTGGTTAAAATGGTTTCTTACACATCCTCCCCACTAGAAGAAGTAGGACTCCTACGTTGGTAATGTTGTTTGACGGCGACTTTTCTAATATACTTGAATAAATTTTGATTTTTGAAATAATGATGATATTTTTTTGTGTAAATGTTATGATATTTGAGAGTTAAAGGTTGATTGTTTGGAGTGGAAGAATCGACAAAAGTTTTGACATATTTTCTTGTGGCTCTTTTAAGAATTTCTTGTAGTTTGACTATTTTTTCGAGTTTTAAAATAATCTCTTGTTGGTGTGAAGGTAATTTTTGAATTTCTGTCTTTAAGGGGACTTCTACAAGGCCAAGAATTAATCCTAAGTTTTCATCTTTACTTAAAGGAACGTTGAGGAGTCGGTCCACATCAAAAGAAGGATTGATTGTTGTTGTTGTTAATAAGTCCATCAGGATTGTCAATTGGATTGAAATAATTGGGATTGAAGGATACTTTTGGTGCTTTATATATTTTTAGTTTGTTGCCATGGATATGTCGCTGTGCAATATCTCCATCTAACGATTTTAGGATATAAGTTGAATTTCTGTGACATTCTTGGATAATAAATGGTCCCTCGAATCGATCATCTAATTTGGCTGATAGATTATTGGCAATAATGTCTTTGTACTTTAAAACCAGATCTCCTACACAGTAACCGGGTTTGTCGGATTTGTTTCGGGATAGGATCCGTTTATTAACCATCTTTAATTGTGATTCTTGGGCTTTACGAATATTTTCTCGAGCTATATGTTGAATAGTGTTGATATGAGATGTGAATACTTCAAAGTTACTGTTGAATTCTTCTTCGTTCCATACGTCTTCCGTGTCATTTTGTTGATTCATAAAATTATCAAACGGAGTATGCGGAATACGACCATATAGTGTTTGGAAGGGAGATAATTTAGTACTGGCTTGAGTTATACACCGATATGAGAATAAAATGGAAGTCAGATATAAGTGCCAATCAGGTTTTTCTTCCGGAGATAATTTTCTTAAGCAAGATCCAAGAGTCCGATTAAATCTCTCCACTAGTCCATTTCCTTGAGGATGGTACGCTGAACTATATTTATGTTTGATGCCGAATTGATCACAGAGAGTATTGATTAATAAGTTACTAAAGGGGCTACCGTTGTCTGTGATTATTATCCTCGAAATAGAGTGTCGTGTAATAATTTCATCCACATAGAAGTTGAATACTTCAACTGAATTCGCGTGCACTAGAGCTCGAGCTTCTACCCATTTACTGAAATAATCAATAGCTACAATGATGTATCGATGTCCACCCCGAGAGGTCTCCACATGTTTGATATCCATAGCAACTTGTTGAAAAGGGCTAATCGGAACGGGAACCACATGAGGTTTTTCGAGTTCTACTTCTTTTCCTTTTTGTTGACAACGTAGACAGGTTGAAATCCATTCTTTGATGTCCTTAATCATTCCATCCCAATAGTATTTTTCTGATATCTTGAGATAGGTATTTTGATAAGCATAGTGACCTCCAAGCGGGTGATTATGATACATCTGGAAAGCATTTTTAGCATCTTGATGAAGAAGTACTAATCGAGTAGGTGATTTCCGATATAATTGATGTGACTGGGTGTAATAATGTTTAGATTGTAATCTGAGATATTTTCGTTGTTGACTAGATGTATTATGTGGATATTCTAAAGTTTCCAAATAATAGACCAGTTGTTGATATTTGAGGTTATCCATATTGAGTTGATTCTTGGATTATTTGTGTAACTTGAAGTTAAAATAAAGTGAAATGTTGGAAAGAAAAAGAAAAAGAAATATATACAGAATTTTGAATAAGGTGTTTATATACATAATTTTTGCTGAGATCTATATTCTCTGCAATATTTGGTGAGGGCCGGTAATCCAGTGTTTTGAAATTGTTTTGAGTGAGTAAGTCCGTTAGTCAAGTTTTATGACTTTCTGGGTCAGGAGATACTAGTATCCGAGACGGGAGAAGAAATCCGCATTTTCGTTTACACGACCAGGTCGGTATACAATATCGAATTCATATTCATTTAAAATAGCAACCCATCTAGCAAGAATTCCAGTATGTTCAGTTGTACTATTCAATATTCCTCGAAGACTTGAGTGATCGGTTAAGACTGTAAATTTCGATCCTAAAAGATAAGGACGCAATTTTTCAACACACCATTTCACAGCTAGTAATTCTAACTTCGATACACCGTAGTTTTCTTCCGATTGTTTTAATCCTCTACTAAGGTATAGAATTACACGCTCCTTTCCGTCTTCGTCGTATTGGCTGAGAACACCACCAATACCTGTTCGGGAAGCATCCGTCATTAAGTAAAAGGCTTATCAAAATTAGGTCGCATGAGTATGGGAGCTTCTGTCAGGGCCTTTTTTAGTGCTTCGAAAGCTTTGGTAGCTTTTTCATTCCATACGTTGGGTAATCCTTTCTTGGTTTTTGTTAAGTCAGTGCAAAGGTCTAGCTATACTGGCAAATGCTGGGACATATCTTCGGTAATACGAAGCCAAAGCAACAAAACTTTTGATTTCCGTTACGGTAGTAGGTTGTTTGTAATTGAGAAGCTTTTCTACTTTGGCAGGATTGGTCGATACACCTTCTTTTGATACTACGTAACCCAAGAATTCAAGAGAGTCCTTAAAAAAATTACATTTGGAGGGATTCAACACTAGTTTTGCTCTTCGAATGCACCGGAATACTTTTTCAATATCCAGTAGATGTTGGTCATGAGATTTTGAATAAATATTTTGATCATCGAGATACGATATGACACACTGGTTAAGAAGGTCTCGAAAGGTAAGCATCATTAATCGACTAAAACTGGAAGGACTATTGGATAATCCCATTGGCATTGAGTTATATTCATAGGTTCCGAATTTGGTGACAAATGCTGTCTTTTCTTTGCTAGCAGGATCCATTGGAATTTGATGAAATGCTGTTCTCATATCCAGAGCAGAAAACACTGTCGCAGTTCCTAATTGGTCAAGTAGATCATCAATTCTTGGTAAGGGAAATGCATCTTTCTTGGTCTTGTCATTCAATTTCTTGTAGTTAATTACTACTCGATAACTTTTCGTGTCCTTTTTCTTCACAAGAATAATAGGGGCAGCATAAGGACTAGTCGACGGTCGTATAATACCTAACGCACAGTGTTTATCCAGTTCTTCTTTAAGAGCAACTGATTCTTCAGGCGATATCCTATATGGTCTTGTTCGAATTGGAATTTCATCTTCTGTAATGATCTTGTGATATACTAAATCAGTTTGGCCTAACGTTTTACCATCCCAGTCAAAGATATCCTTGAAATTTGATATAAGGTTTAAAAACTTTGACTTTAATTCGTCTGAAGTTTCACCTATCTGAATTTGCTCTAACTGTTCTTCCGACAAGGTGGTTTCTTCCATGGTATTAAATTGTTCAGGTTCATTTCCTTGTATAGGGTTCATTTCATACGTAGATAAGACTTCAGCTTCTTCAACGGTAGCAATCATAGTTCCTTTCTCCAACACTATAGGTTCTTCGGTCATGTTTTGTAATTGAGCGCGAAATTTATATTCATGTGGATCCAGAATGGGTTTAGACAGAATTAAATAGGGTTCATACGAAGGATTTATTTCAACATATTGTAAGTTGTTTTTCTGGGGTAAATTTAAATTTAAGGGGACTGAGGATTTAGCTGGGATAATGAGTTTTCCCTCCTTCTTGATTCGTACTTGATTATCCTGGTAATGGACTTGGCTGTCATCCTTGGTTGTCATACAGTGAAAATCATTGGTTATAGTCATGAATTCAGCATCATCGTCGGATTCACTTTCCTCTTCTGATTCATCTTCAGTTTCTTCATCTGATTCAGATTCTTCATATTCCGGTAAGAGAAAATCCAAAGCCGAATTTTTCTTGTTCATCATATTGATTACAGGTTCTTGTGTTTCCTTGTTAAAAAATATATTGATCTTGGTTTGTTGATTTTTATAGGTTACAGTCATTTGTGTGAGGTCGTAATTAATAATAGCTTTTGTTCGTTGTAGCCAATTATTTCCAATGATCAAGGGATATGGCATGTTAGGTAACACTTCTACTGTTAAGGGTACAATTAATCCATTAACGTTTATAGGCACATCGTATATAACTCCTAAGGATGCATATTCTTGATTATTTCCCAGAACAAACTTGGTTGTAGAGGCTCCATCAATGGCATAACCTAATTTAGCGGCAAGATCCTTGGTGATTATTGTTTTAGAGGCGCCACAATCGATTAAGGTGATCACCGATACGTCAGCAATTTTCATAGTACATCTCAAGGCGGTAACGCTCTCATCTTCATTGTTTAAATTATTGAATGCGGATAAGGAATGCGCCGTGTTGGAGATGATAAATTGTTTGATAATTCTTTTTCTTCCTTTGTTATATTGAGTTTGTAGAGAAGGAATTATATGCAGTAACTGTTTAAATTTGATCCCAGCTTGTTGGTTTAATATATCTTCCGTAACATCATAACCTGATTCAGCAATACGTTGTTTAATAGTTCGCTTGTTCACCTTTCTTACTGGCACGGTTGTGACGTCCATAGCTTCAGCATCAGGTACCGGTATCATTGGTACATTATGAGCTTCTTGTGTCATGGGTACGACAGGAATCATAGGCGTTGGCATGACTGGTTGAATTGATTGTACAGGTTGAATGGCTTGAACAGTGGGTACAGGTTGTACTGTGGGAATGTTTGTTGGCATTGGTGTGATTGTATTGTTATTATTGTTAGATTCAGTAGCTTGAGGTTTTCTACTGGAACGAGTTCTACTATGTTTAATGATGTTGTCTTTTGATATTCCATAAGGGGCAGTTTGAGGAAGTCGAGAGACTTTTGATTTTTCGGCAGGCATTAAATGATGTTGTGATATAGGATTTAGATAAGTAGCTTGAGTCGATGGCCTATATTCCATCGACTTTAATAGTTTTTTGACTGATCTTGAGTGTTTTGCATAGGCATGAACATCTGTTGATTAGGATTCATCAGCATGGCTTGATTATAATACATCATTTGAGCAGGTGTCATTTGATTGGGAGTCATCACCATATAAGGATTAGGAATCATTCCATTCTGGGGATTAACCATTTGAGAATTATCATATTCGGCTAAATTCGCGACTTGTCCCATAGTGTTGAATGCTTGTAAACTTGTATTGTTGGGCTTGGAATTATCACCAGAGGATTGATTATTATTTTGACCCGAATAATTTCCTTGGCGTTGACCATTATTATAGTTATTGTAGTTACGTTGGTTATAGTAACCTTGATTGTTATTTTGACCTTGATTATTGTGGTGACCTTGATTATTGTGGGGACCTTGATTATTATTGTTGTATGAGTTGCCTTGTTCACTATTTTGTCCATTAGAACGTCCATTGGAATGGTTATTATCTTGATTATGGTAATTATTGGATCGATAATTGTTATTTCTTCCATAATTTTGATTGTTATAGTTGTCATTATTTCCGTTGTTATTGTGATAGTTATTAGAATACTGATTGCCATTATTGTTATAATTGGATTTGGATGCATTATTCTTATATCTTTGTTGACGTTGCTCATAATTTTCCTGAATTGCTTTATTTGTTTCCGTTCGAATAAGTTCCGTCAACTGGGTTAAGGTGATAGGAGATTCGGCTGTAGTAATCATGGGTTGTAATACATTGTTCTTAGCAGGTTCAGCAACTGGAGTAACTTTCTTTGAGGAAGTGGGACTGGATCGTCTTTGGAATAAATTTTGATGTTGTAAATTACTAATTCCACTGCAATAGTGAGAGGGTTCTTCTTGACTGCCTTCAAGATGTAAATGATATCCTATCCAATATCCTTGGGCTAAGCGCATATAATCTTCATGAGATTTGGCACCAGTACAAATACAATGTTCTCTGACAGCTTTGAGCAGACCATACTTAAATCTTGATCTAATAGTAGCAACAGAGGTAATACCAGCAACATGAGCAGCTTCAGAAATACGGTTCCAAAAATTGGTAGGAGATTCATTGTCTAATTGGTTGATACCATTGAAAGCATCCTTCTTTGCTTCTTTCATTTCTTCAGTGTTGTAAATATTATCAACGAGACGTACGACTTCAGCATACTTTAGGTCCTTATTATCGGGAGGGTAACCATAAATATTATCAAGATCAGCTCTTGCTTTTCCAGAAAGTAAGGTACGGAAGATAGTAATTTTGTAAGTGTCATCAGTGATATTTTTAAGAGAAAAGTAGTCTTCGAGATTAGATTTGAAAGCCAGAAAATCTTCACCTTCGTAGCCACGGAATGAGAATAATTTCTTATTAATGTTAAAAGCTTCAGGTGACGCCAACACAGTGGAATCATCAAGAATAGGAGTAGTTTCGCTTGTATGATTCATTTTCGATAAAAAGCCCCTGTTAGTGAGCACCACGTATTATAAAATGGATGTTCCGTAGAGTTTAATAAAGACGTGGGTTGATTGAGTTTAAAGTGAGCACCAAATCAATTAATAGGTTTTGATTAGACCTTTGTTATCGTATTGTTATTAAGGGAAAGAGAAAGGAACAATCAAGAGTTCGTAAAAGAATCAATGATTATATTGTATGAGTTATTAGGTTAACGATAAGCTTTTATCAAGACTGATTTAAGTATGTAATGGTACTTCAAAAGAGAGTTGTTTTACTATACAGGGTCTTAATTACGTTATGATGGTTCCGTTTAAGGATGTTTCTTAACGAATTTTAATAAAAGTAAATGATTTTGTTTGACGGAGTAAAGTGTGTACTGTTTCTGATTATAGAAAATAATAGAAGGTGTTCACACAAGGTCAGAAATATATAGAATGGTTCCAGATAAGGATGTTTTCTTATATATTTATACAAAAGAGAAAGTAGATATAGAAGAGTTTTTATTGAGACTGTTTAAAGTACGTATGTTACTATTCAAAAGAAAGTTGTTTACTGTACAGGATCTCGAGATTTACTGAATGGTTCTTATAAATTAAGATGTTTTCAAGTAAGTCTTTATAAAAAAAGAAGAAAAGAAAAAAAGAAAGAATAAAAATAAAGAAAGAAAGAAAAAGAAAAGGAAGTAAGAGCAAATATGGCTCGGTTATAGTAAGTTTTGTGAGAGTAAAATATGTCTGAAGTTTATTAAAAAAATGGAAGGGGTTATTTATAGTTGTTTTTGAGAATGGTGTAACCATCGTACTTTGAAAGCTCTTAATTAATGTCTATGTTTGGTTAAAATGGTTTCTTACAAGAGGCATGATTCTCCCATATTTATATATGACAGCCTATCAACATCACGTGTACCTTAATTTAATTCCATTCACAATATTACGACATAGCTACTTTTTAGCTTGAGGTAATTTGTGGGAACTCTCGTGGTTGCTTAATCTGATTTTTGACAACACCTTTGAACAAAAGAGCAATTATAAACAGACAAAAATAGGGAGATATTCAATATAAGAAACAGTAGGATTTATCAGTCACTCTTTTGTTAACAGGTAACTTCATTCAAGAAATATAATACAAAGAAGGTACTCTGGCAAAATAAAAAACCTTTTCTGAGATTAAAACAGTGTGGTAAACAATGCTTTAACTATGGAAGTTGTACGTAAACAACATATGGATTTTGATCATTTTGCAATAAAAACCACTACCATTCATCTCAGTGTCAATTTCTGATTCGACCCATGTGCATAGCATGGTATTTTATGCATCAATTCGATAATGTCTGAGGAGATGGATAGTTTACACACAGTCATGAAATCATAAAGTGTATCTCAGTGTATAACAAAATATGACGACTACTTCTCATTCTGTGTTAATGAAAATCTCGCCGCGTTGAAATGTAAAGTATAAAGTCTTTATTCTGTTATTTTTATATTGTGATTGAAGCTATAGAACCAGGAAGAGATTCTAGAATCCACCTCCAATTAACAGAATAAACTTTCCCATAAATAATCATCTTATATAATAATCATAAGATTTGTAAACAAAAATAAGATAAATAATCGTAGCAGGCATGACGGATACACCTTAGTTTTTCTTTGGAATAAAATAGATCTTAGTTTTGACTCGCTGTTTTTCTTTTTATCATTTTATTCCATTTTCCAAATCCCTATTATTACAACATATATCATCACTCAGTAATGATAGTAAAAAAAAAATTGATTTGGCGTTCTATTATGTGCTTTTGTTTACTTTTTCGTTTAAGGAAAAGTGTCAATATAACGTCCTGTCAAGTCACGGAAAGTCATTTGACAAAAAAAAAAAAAAAAAAAAAATTGAGTAAAAAAAAGGTATAAAAAGGGGCCATTTTTTTCTCTTTTTTCTCCTTCCCCCAATTCTCTTATGCCTAGCATATGATGCGATAATCGCTAACTACTTCAGTAGGGTTATCGTATAATTTTTGGAACTGGGCTGAAAGTTCTAATCCACTTCCTGCTTTCGGGCATGTTGAAACGGGCGGGTGGCTCCCCATTCGATCAGCAAATACGAATACAAGTGGATCAGCAAATACGAATACGAGTGCATCAGCAAGTACATAACGAGCACATCAGCAAGTACGAAACGAGCGCATCAGCAAGTATGAAACGAGCGCATCAGCAAGTACGAAACGAGTGGATCAGCAATTTTCAACTAATGGGGGGTTTCTCCAGTGTGACAGCATCGGGAAGTGTTGAATGATTGGACTTTTGGCCCTATTTAATTTTTTTTAAATCTAATGAAAATGAAAAACAAAAAATATTGTGACCTCTTTTTTTTCTTACACTCATGCATGAGTTGTCTCCAAAAAAAAAAAAAAAAAAAAAAAAAAAAAAAAAAAAAAAAAAAAAACAATTATTTTCTTGTCTTCTAATGGTAAATATCTTTATGATGGGATTGACTCTTTTTGATAAAAAGCTTTTATAAAAAGACAAAAAAGTCTCACTTATACCCCATGCATTTGGCTTATTTTCTGACATGGACTAAACACAAATCCCTTCAAATACATTAAGCAACTATGTAACGCTGTCAACTACACTCACAAGAAACGGTTGAGAATAAAGCGATTTTGGTTAAAGAAAGTCTTGAGTACTTTAAAAACTAACCATAAACACATTTGTACTTTGACCACTTTCATTTCTGTGGTGTATATAAGAGAGAAAATGGAGGAACTCTATGGTTATTCTCAGCATAAATTTATTGTATTATCAGGGGGTGAGCGACTTAATTTTTTTATGCTTAATTCGTATAAATTTAGACTATGATACCATTGAGTCTTTCATCGTACTCATTAATAAATCTCAGAATGCAAGTGCGAAGTTAATAATTTAATATGACACTGTCTCAGAAACCATTCTTTTTTCAGAGGTGACCTGGCTGGTAGAATTAGGATTAAAGAGAGTACCAGGAAGGCGTTACTATTCAAAATCTGAGCAAACATCTTTCAATCATACGGCGCAATACGTCCACAAAAAAAAAAAAATATAAAAGGGGGCTATTTTTCTGTCATGAACTCATTTCATCATGTCCTAGATCATGCCTTGATTTTAAACCCTTGTGAAACCTTGTCCTAAAATCTAATATCAGTATACCTTGTCCGCTACCAAACTCCCTGTAAAACCTTGTACCCAAAATCATATCTGTATATCTTGCCCGCTTTCTGAATTCCTTGTAAAACCTACCACCAATCTGTATTCCAATATATTTCCCGCCTCTTGTCTGACTCAACCTTAGTAAACCTTTTTCCGATCATCTATTACTTCATATCCCAATCCAGTTTTCCCGCCCGTGTCAAATCAGAGATATTCCCCGAACCATCTAATTATTCAATGTCAACTAAATCCAGCCTGCTATTACTCGTCGAATCTCAATTACTCATCCTTGTCAAATAATCTGCTCATGATATCTGTTCCGTAAAGTCCCTTGTTAATCTATAATTTAAACCCATCGTAGCTTTTCCCATGTATAAGAAATAGTATAAATAGATGCTAGTTATTTATTAGAAAAACGTTATTCTGGATCTTAGTCCTAACCCCTCCCCCTTCTCTGAAATAAACTTCTTTATTTATCATTTTCACTCTGACTCTCGTGTCACCAAGTAGTCTTCTTTCTGTTCTTGTTCTGTTTCTGACATTTTCCATTGATGTTGAGGTTGTATAGTTTAAACGAAAGCCATGCTGCAAGGTAGCAAGCCGAGAAATTTATAAATTATAAGTAAGACTTAGAAGAAGAACATATAAAGGTTTATTAATGGTGCAGTCAGCCAAATGGAAGTCTAAAAGTGTTCTGTATCACACCAAGTGAAACAGTTATGATAACAGTATGCGCTACAGCCATGTCAGTATGACTGGAGCTTCCTAAAATTGTAGAGAATTGAATAACTTAGAACACTGGATAAAAATCAAGATGTTGAGATGTATGTTGTTACTTATCTTTGGTAGTAGTAGCAGTAGTATACTAGTACCGGGAAAGACCTAAATGAATTGAGTTAGTAACGAAATAGAATCAGAATAACTTGTGCCAATAAAAATACTTTCCAATATACAAAAGAGAGGAGGATAGCCTAAAAGGATCACAACATCCAGCATTGAACACTGCAGGCAAGTAGTCGCTACTGTCAAAGCCCCTTCCTTCCTGAATGGGGAGCGTATCTAGCCAAGCGTAATCACAAAGTGTATCTACCACAAACCACTACGGTAGGCAACTACTATGAAAAGAGATTGGCAGATAATGCATAGCATCCACGATGCCCGCCAGGAACCCACCTCGACCTGTACCTCCTAACAAAGAGTGCAATCCTCAACATGTTGATGATCCCGTCATATCACCCTTGCTCACCCTCACGACCCAGCAAGATAGAATGAATAACCCTGGCGAGTCTTGTCTACCTGTCTTTTTTTATATTTTGGACCGAGATGACACTTGGGCAAGCAGCTTCGGGGTATATGTCTGAACACGACTGTACTTGTATATTGAGGTTGAGAACCGGTAGCTACTTACTATATTTTTTTATGTATATATATTTTGATTGTTGTTTAAGGTTAGAGGCCTAAAGGAGCAACCAGCCAAAGTAGGGATTTTATTCTGTGGTAACCTCTATTGTCATTAAGGCACCCTTTTTTTATCCTGTAGATAACCCTCTTCCTTCCAACCATAATAGAATATTAGATGGATTGGATGGTAAAAGAAGAGAATTAGCTACAAGATAAAAAAAGGGGAAGATAACACCAATAGACGATACCACAGAACAAAACCCGTTTGTCTGGACCAGCCGCTCCCAGTCGGCCTCGCCATAAACAGCTGTAGTAAGCAACCACCAGTTCGCCTCCTTTTGTACAGAACGTGTTCATGTATGGGGGTCAGCCGCCTGCTTACGCGTCATCCCAGTCTTTTTTTTTTCAGAGGGTAGACGTTGTTTGACCCACCGTTTCGGGTGTATAAACTTACCGGGAAGCGGGGGGACAGAGAGAGACAAGAGCGACAGAGGACCTATAAAAAATTAAATATGAGTTTCAATGTTTTTTTTTTCTTTTTAAGTGATATTACTTACAGGACTACAACATGTCTTGGAAAGCACCCAATGCAGTCGATACAAGCCCAGGAGGGTTGAAGACAGGTATACGTGCACGCCATACATTACCTACTCCCTTTTCATAGGACCATTTAATAGCAGTAAGGGATCACCACCGATCGACATTACAACCCAGTAAACACACGGCATTTGTGCAAAAGAGTACTCCTTAGTGAGCTTTCATCGCGGCAATGCTATTACTGAACATCATGTTAATAATAAAAATAAAAAGAGGAGAAAGAGTGGGAAAAAATCAGTAGTGCGTAGCAACCAGACTTTGACTGCTGACAGGCTCACGCGCAACAAGATAAGATAACCGTGAGAGCTTTGATTACATGATCAATTTTGGAAGTTCGTACTACTTTGATTTTTAAGCAAAAAAAAAAAAAAAAAGCAGAATTCTTACGATGAACACTTCACACGACACTGTATACAACAAACTTACACTAAAAATGCTGCAAGTATGAAATTCTGGGAGTTACAGAAACTATACTGATCGTCTTGATTATCTCTGTTAGTTTTTTTTTTTTTTTTTTTTTTTTTTTTTTTTTTTTTCTTTTTCTTTTTCTTTTGCCAAACTAGAATAAAGGGGAAAGTTTCATAAATTACACAAGCTATCACTGAAAAGTCTCAATTACATTCACGTAGCCTACAAAAATGATTTTGAGAGGGTTTTATGTTGGTGAGTGTAATAAAACCTTGGCAACTAAGAACTGGAATGTAGTCATCATGGTTCTTATTTTTTATAACAATGAGTTCATTCCTACTTGTTCTCCGTATGCCTTTTTTCTTTGTTTTTTTTTCTTGCTCACTATCCTTGACTAACTAAGCATGGTTTTCAAACACACTTTCTCGTGTTAGATAGATTTTTTTTCGGATCTTAGTGATTCTGTTTTTTTTCTTTTTAATTTCTGCCTTTCCCAAAACCTAATTACAGCAGTCTGCCATCATTTGTGGTACAAAAGCAATACAGTTCACTGTATAGATCAATAATAGAGTTGCCTCCAAAAAAAGTAGGTTATAGGGCCTATTGAATAAGTTTAAAGAAGATACATGGTTAAAGAAAAAAAGGAATTGCAATATTAAAGAAAAAATCATGCCCTACAGTCAAGCGTTAGAGTATTGACTCTTCCTTATGAAAGATTTAACAGCATCTGGTTATTTTAATTGTGAAAAAAAAGTAGCAGAGATTTACATATGTCTTCTCTCTCTTCATAACTCACTCGTCAAAAAGTGGTGAGGCCTAGCAGAAACTCATATGAGTAATTTTGAAGATCAAGACAGTGACGGCGTGGATAGTTTTACCTATAGAAGAATAACAGGAGATACAGTGAAAACGTGTACCTTGATCCACCTTTAATTGTCATAGGATAATGTCTACTTTGTTCAAGTAAGTCTTTTTTATCTTGTAGCCCGCCTCATAGCTATGCACCGTATATTTAAACGTGTTGGAAACAGGAATCAAAATTGGACCTGATACACTTTGAAAGAAAGCGCCGACATTATTCTTAATGTTACATTGAAAGAGCTATTGTTTTTTTTTACCATGCATTAATTTTCTGGTTACCATTTTGAATCTATGGCTCTTTTTATTTCAATTAGCCTTGATATTGAACTCACTTTGATGTGACTACTACCTCATATGAATTATCAGTATCTTTGACTTTCCCCTAAATTTATAAGCCGAGACTACTAGTGAGTCCATATTTTATTTCACACTTGCTCGGTGTAACGTTATGTAATGAATTGTTATTGTGGGTTCTTACGAACTTTCCTTGGATAAGAAACAATATGTCATGAAATGCTATTGGTAGTCGAATGATGGTTAAGCCAAGGTATTAATCTACATAGCATGAATAAAATTTAACTTCTGATGACCTTTACTGTTATTTCCACAAGGATGCTGTTGTACAATAAAAGGTCAGAATGGGATTTTATTATGTCTATTATTGTGGTTTACTAGAAAAATCAAGTATTAATAAACGACATGAGATCTATGTTAGTAAAGTGATGTATACTCATACATGATAGTAATAAATCAAACGCTACCCTTGCTTTTCCTTAACATGCAAGCATTGGAAAGATAAAAAAAAAAAAAAAACTCCGTCTCAAAAAAGAAAGGTCACCCCTGCCCTGGATAAAGGGATTTTTTTTTTTTTGACATTTTTTTTTTCTTTTTTTCTTTAACAAACAAAAGTAGATCAACTCAAATGGCCTTTGTGCGTTCCTTCCTTGGAGGACTTCCGGGAAAGGCTTCTTTGAAAGCAGTCAGCTCAAGCTTTATTGAGTCAACTCCACAAAACGTCTTTTCTCTTTTACCTATTACAATGGGTCGTCGTTACCAATCCACCGGTCTCGATCCCAAAGATGCCGTAAGTTATATATATTTTTGTTTGCAAAAGAAATAAAACTCAACTGGAATACACTCTTATAGGAACGTCTCAACAAGCTTCGTAACATTGGTATTTCAGCTCATATTGATTCCGGAAAGACAACTTGTACAGAACGTATTCTTTATTACACCGGTCGTATCAAGGAAATTCATGATGTCCGTGGTAGAGATGGTGTAGGTGCCAAGATGGATTCTATGGATTTAGAGAGAGAAAAGGGTATTACTATTCAATCCGCTGCTACTTATGCCAGCTGGGGTGATAACAATATCAATATTATTGATACGCCAGGTAAGCAACATAGAGAGAATAGTAGAAAGAACGAGTTCTAAAGAGTATATAGGCCATGTGGATTTCACTATTGAGGTGGAGCGTGCTTTGCGTGTGTTGGATGGTGCTGTGATGATTTTATGTTCTGTTTCCGGTGTGCAATCTCAAACGATCACTGTTGATCGTCAGATGCGTCGTTATAATGTTCCCCGTATTTCTTTTATTAACAAGATGGATCGTGCTGGTGCCAATCCTTTCCGTATTATTGATCAACTCCGCCAAAAGCTTAAATTGACAGCCGCCGCTGTACAAATTCCCATCGGTCATGAAGATCAATTCAACGGTGTTGTCGATCTTTTGAAATGGAAAGCTGTTTACAACGAAGGTGACAGTGGTCAAGATTTAGTTGAACGTGATATCCCTGAAGAATTAATGCCTCTCGCTCTCGAAAAGAGACATGAGTTGATTGAACAATTAGCTAATGTCGATGATGAAATTGCTGATCTCTATCTCTTGGAAGAAATTCCTACCGCTGAACAATTCATGCAAGCCATTCGTCGTGCTACCATCTCGCTTAAATTCACTCCCGTCTTGATGGGTTCTGCCTTCAAGAATACTGCTGTTCAACCCTTATTAAATGCTATTGTTAACTTTTTACCTAACCCTACCGAGGTTGTCAACCAAGCCTTGGATATCAGTCAAGGTGAACAAAAGGTCGATCTCGTTCCTAATGCTAGTAGTCCCTTTGTTGGTCTTGCTTTCAAGTTGGAAGAAGGTCGTTATGGTCAATTAACTTATATGCGTATCTATCAAGGTGCTTTAAAGAAGGGTTCTTTCATCACCAATGTCAAGACAGGTAAGAAGATCAAGGTACCTCGTCTTGTACGTATGCATGCTGCTGATATGGAAGATGTTGATGAACTCGGTGCTGGTGAAATTGGTGCCATGTTTGGTGTAGATTGTGCTAGTGGTGATACTTTCACAGATGGTAGTATCCAATACACCATGACCTCCATGTATGTTCCTGAACCCGTTATCTCTCTTGCTCTTACCCCCAAGGGTAAAGAATCTCCCAACTTTTCCAAGGCATTGAACCGTTTCCAAAAGGAAGATCCTACTTTCAGAGTTCACGTTGATTCTGAATCCAAGGAAACCATTATTTCTGGTATGGGTGAACTCCATTTACAAATCTATGTTGAACGTATGAAGCGTGAATACAGTGTCGAATGTTTAACTGGTAAACCTCGTGTTGCTTTCCGTGAAACCATTACTCAACCTGCCAAATTCAACTACACTCACAAGAAACAATCTGGTGGTGCTGGTCAATTCGGTCGTGTTGTTGGTCAACTTGAACCTATGGAAAAGGATGAAGAAACTGGAAAGGATATTGCCTTTGATAACCGTGTTATTGGTGGTAACATTCCTACCAACTATATCCCCGCCATCGAAAAGGGTTTCAATGATGCCCTTGATAAGGGTCCTCTTATCGGTCACCCTGTCAATGGTGTTCGTATGATTTTGGAAGATGGTGCCTCTCACGCTGTTGATTCCAGTGAATTGGCTTTCCGTATCGCTGCCAAGAACGCTTTCAATGATGCTTTCGCTAAGGCCAGACCTGTCATTTTGGAACCCATCATGAATGTCGCTATTACTGCTCCTATCGAATTCCAAGGTTCTGTCATTGGTGGTCTTAACAAGCGTAAGGGTACTATTGTCGATACCGAGATCCAAGAAGATTACTTTAACGTTACTGCTGATGTCCCCTTGAACGATATGTTTGGTTACTCTACCGAATTAAGATCCGCCACTCAAGGTAAGGGTGAGTTCTCCATGGAATATAAAGACCATCAAGCTGTTCCTTCCAACGTTCAAGAGAACCTTATTCAAGAATACAAGAAGGATTTAGCCAACAAGGCCAATAAGTAAAAAACTATCTAAATATGTAATTTTACCATACAAAAAAAAAAATTAGAAATAAATGTAATATATAAATCAAAAAAAAAAAAAAAATGCCATACATATAGCCTTCAAAGTTGTCAATTAGTAGAGACTTTTTTTTTATCCATACTCTACTTTTCCCTATAACGCACAAACCATGAAAAGTTTACCTTGCAGCATTGTCCAAACTATTGCCTCTTACCTCTCATTCAAAGACAAGCTGAATTGCATTCTTGTCTGTCGACAATGGCACCTTTGGATTCGTAACTCTTGTCTATACGAAACCCTTTCCTTTCAAACCAACTCGGACTCGTTAAGTGCTGCACTCGAGTTCTTTAACAGACACAGTCTTTTTGGTTCTCGAGTCCATTCACTCTCCATGATCCATTGCCATTTGCAAGACAAAACCGCAAACTGTATTACCCGAGTCTTACCAAACATTCAAACCTTGGTCTGGATAGAGTCGGACGAACACGGTCGTAGTCAACTCAGATGGGTGAACATTGGTATCAGCTTTCGTTTTTACCGTTGGAAGAAAATCAAATACCTTACGATCGATGCCACCACATTTCATACATTCAATCTACTCGGTCTCGCTGCTCCATTAAATCAATTGGATACACTCATCATATATTTCAATACAATCGAAGAGACTCAGAGGGATCTCGCAAGAACAATGGCTTATAAATTACGTTACGCCCAATCCTTGCAACTCCTCGTCCTCAAATCTGCTGTTGTAGACCTTTCAATTATGGAAGAAATTCATATAAACGCTCCCGATTTGAAAGAACTGGTATTGGAGGATGTAACTCTCTTGATGGATCATAAATTAAACAACAGAGCAATCGTGCATGCAAAAGCCCTGAGAAAATTGCATATGGATGTCATAAATGACCCAAAAGATCTTTTACAGAATGATCAAGTCATTTCTATACGCCACTGGTTAAACTATTTTGCAAGCAAGTATCGACATGTAGAGGATATTCTTATAATAGCTCAGTCTTCCTTTAAAAGCTTGAGTCCGTGCGTTGCAGATCTACTCCGTGCTATGAGACATATCACTCGTTATGCCATTCAACTCTGTTCCATCGATCCCACTATCTTACGAGCCATACATTCCTTCTCTCTCTCATCCTTATCCATTTGGATAAATAGAGAGAATGCAGGTGAACAGATCACTACATTAGCCTCTTGGAATACCCTCCCCCTTCATTTACAATCATTTGATATCGTGGTACAGGATTTATTACCCTTGGATCCATTAAATGCATTAATCGACTTGATCATGAATCTATCACACTTAAAATCACTTTCCATCCAAAATGTCGCCATCAAAAACGAAACATTACCTCTCATCTTACTCTTGAACGAACATCCTTCATTAACTTTTATTTATCTCGATCATGGAACCGTGCGTGATATGACGTTTGAAGTGACAGTTAAAAAGCGGGTGGGCCTTCATAGTCTTACTTTACACCTCTGTACTTACACCTTGGGAAATCATTCTAGCGCCAATGACGCCATTCGTGTCATTATGAGCAAGCAAACTTTGCCATTCCATCTGATACGAATAAAGGGTGATGTCATTTGTGGTGTTGGCATGTTGAGAATTCCCTTAACCAAAGCCCCGCATTTACATAAACTCAACATTCAGCTAGACATGATTGGCTATATCTCTATTTACAAAACATCTGAAAATGAATATATTGCTTCAAATAACAAAACTAAAGAATTATTGAAAGTATCCGAGATGAAAAAGATTGATGGTGATGCTATTATTCCTCGTGAGTGGACCTACGGTCAATTAACTACTGTGCGACTTCAAATTTAGAGAAAGAAAAAAAAATCCCATCCAAGTGAATTGCCTTAACACCAATTGCCTAAAATAAAAAGTAAATAAAAAAAGCAAACCTTTTTGTAACAAGACATGACTTTTTCCGTTGCACAAATGTCTTGCATATGACAATCTTGGTCTTTGGCAAAGGCTTTCTATTCCTCTTTTGCTAAACCCTCTTTTGGTTGGCGCAAATCTTCCAAAAAAATATATGTATTAATCATTCGTTATACTACATGACCAATTATAAAACTATTTACCCTATTGATATATCAGTTTTTCACCGATGTCTGGTTCATTAACTTCGCATTCAAAGTCGATGTGTCTTTCATAGCTGTTGATTGATATATACACACTATATATCCAGCCTATAATCTACTTGACATTTAATAGCAACCCAGCACTGAAACATAAACCATTAACCGATCAAGATATTAATGTCTACTTCCAATCCACGCTCCCATCTGATCTTCCCGGATAACAATCTATTTCAATCCTTCCTTATAAAAAGGATCCCCTTTTCCATTTAATAAAAAGATATCTAGTTTTAGTCTCAAATAATTTAACCGTTTATTTCTTGGAATATTTCATTGATTATCAATGTGTTCGTTCCATATGTTATCTAAAGAGAAGCTCGACAAGATAGAAATAGCAATGCACATGTATTTAACTGGGGTATAATTTGTCTAAATGGCTTTATAAACCCAAACAAGAGCAAAAACAAAAGACCTTGTTTTTTAGAATAAATAATGATTACAACATTATATGCGTATACATTTACTTTATAAAAGACACCCAAGAATTTGAGACATATTTCGATTTGTCTGTTTGATTAATCCAGTAGATTATAATCAAAAAGCCGTCCTTGTTAATCACAACTTCGGAGGATTTATGCATATATCCTGATAACGATGAGCACATCACAAGTATTTCCTTTTATTTTCTCTAATGAAACACTTTGCAAATTCAATCACCAAATTGTCAGCGTAACAGGACTGAGCATGAAACCCATGTTATTGAAGTATTGCAGTGGATACATTTTTTGTAAAGCATAGGCACCACTATTATTGAGCAGGACTTATCCTTGACATTTTTTAATATTTTAAAGGACGTCTGAGATGTTAAACATCCCCGAGTTGTTATTTTTACTGCTGTTGAGGTGTTAAGAGTTTTCCGGTCTTTATTGTCTAGCCAATATTCGAGTCTTAATTGACACTTTTCAACCTAGAAACAAACAGGAATTTGAAGAAATGCAACATTAAGATAAACATTTGGTGATGTCATCCGTGGCTTACTGGTGGCCGATTGATAACCCAATATTTTGAGGAAAAGCCTCCTCTTAGCCATAAAAACCTTGAAAGCACATGCGTTGTAGTCATGAAAACACCGACAGACTTCTTTTTACCATCATTTAAAGTAGCTCTTTAGGCAGAGGAACTAGCCCTCTGTGGTTCTGACAAGACGAAGGTATTCATGATATTTCAATGTGTGTGCGACATCCATGGCCAATGACTCAAGGTTGATAGTAAGCTAACTGATGGGTTACTTGCGAAGTTGCTAGATATGATATCCTTACCTGACAAGGTCTGGGTCAACTCTTGAAGTCATTTTCGAACAATCATCTGTCTAAAATCTGGGTAAGCATAAAGTATCTTTTTTATTTTTTTTTCAATGCCTTACTCACATTCTCAGGATTTGCTGCTCTCAATGTATACTTCAACACAACAGTACATACGTTTTAGTCATGAGTACACCGACAGACTTCTTTTTACCATCATTTAAAGTAGCTCTCTAGGCAGAGGAACTAGCCCTCTGTGGTTCTGACAAGACGAAGGTATTCATGATATTTCAATGTGTGTGCGACATCCATGGCCAATGACTCAAGGTTGATAGTAAGCTAACTGATGGGTTACTTGCGAAGTTGCTAGATATGATATCCTTACCTGACAAGGTCTGGGTCAACTCTTGAAGTCATTTTCGAACAATCACCTGTCTAAAATCTGGGTAAGCATAAAGTATCTTTTTTATTTTTTTTTCAATGCCTTACTCACATTCTCAGGATTTGCTGCTCTCAATGTATCCTTTAACACAACAGTACATACATTTTAGTCATGAATACACCAACAGACTTCTTTTTACCATCATTTAAAGTAGCTCTCTAGGCAGAGGAACTAGCCCTCTGTGGTTCTGACAAGACGAAGGTATTCATGATATTTCAATGTGTGTGCGACATCCATGGCCAATGACTCAAGGTTGATAGTAAGCTAACTGATGGGTTACTTGCGAAGTTGCTAGATATGATATCCTTACCTGACAAGGTCTGGGTCAACTCTTGAAGTCATTTTCGAACAATCACCTGTCTAAAATCTGGGTAAGCATAAAGTATCTTTTTTTTTTTTTTTTTTTTTTTTTTTTTTCAATGCCTTACTCACATTCTCAGGATTTGCTGCTCTCAATGTATCCTTTAACACAACAGTACATACATTTTAGTCATGAATACACCAACAGACTTCTTTTTACCATCATTTAAAGTAGCTCTCTAGGCAGAGGAACTAGCCCTCTGTGGTTCTGACAAGACGAAGGTATTCATGATATTTCAATGTGTGTGCGACATCCATGGCCAATGACTCAAGGTTGATAGTAAGCTAACTGATGGGTTACTTGCGAAGTTGCTAGATATGATATCCTTACCTGACAAGGTCTGGGTCAACTCTTGAAGTCATTTTCGAACAATCACCTGTCTAAAATCTGGGTAAGCATAAAGTATCTTTTTTTTTTTTTTTTTTTTTTTTTTTTTCAATGCCTTACTCACATTCTCAGGATTTGCTGCTCTCAATGTATCCTTTAACACAACAGTACATACATTTTAGTCATGAATACACCAACAGACTTCTTTTTACCATCATTTAAAGTAGCTCTCTAGGCAGGGGAACTAGCCCTCTGTGGTTCTGACAAGACGAAGGTATTCATGATATTTTAATGTGTGTGCGACATCCATGGCCAATGACTCAAGGTTGATAGTAAGCTAACTGATGGGTTACTTGCGAAGTTGCTAGATATGATATCCTTACCTGACAAGGTCTGGGTCAACTCTTGAAGTCATTTTCGAACAATCATCTTTCTGAAATCTGGGTAAGCAAAATTATCTTTTAATTTTTTTTAATACCTTACTCATATGCTCAGGATTTGCTGCTCTCAATGTATGCTTTAACACAACAGTACATACATTTTAGTCATGAATACACCGACAGACTTCTTTTTACCATCATTTAAAGTAGCTCTCTAGGCAGAGGAACTAGCCCTCTGTGGTTCTGACAAGACGAAGGTATTCATGATATTTTAATGTGTGTGCGACATCCATGGTCAATGACTCAAGGTTGATAGTAAGCTAACTGATGGGTTACTTGCGAAGTTGCTAGATATGATATCCTTACCTGACAAGGTCTGGGTCAACTCTTGAAGTCATTTTTGAACAATCATCTTTCTGAAATCTGGGTAAGCACAAAGTATCTTTTTTATTTTTTTTAATGCCCTACTCATATGCTCAGGATTTTCTCCTCTCATTGTATGCTTCAACACAACAGTACATACGTTTTAGTCATGAGTACACCAACAGACTTCTTTTTGCCATCATTTAAAGTAGCTCTCTAGGCAGAGGAACTAGCCCTCTGTGGTTCTGACAAGACGAAGGTATTCGTGATATTTTAATGTGTGTGCGACATCCATGGCCAATGACTCAAGGTTGATAGTAAGCTAACTGATGGGTTACTTGCGAAGTTGCTAGATATGATATCCTTACCTGACAAGGTCTGGGTCAACTCTTGAAGTCATTTTTGAACAATCATCTTTCTGAAATCTGGGTAAGCACAAAGTATCTTTTAATTTTTTTTAATACCTTACTCATATGCTCAGGATTTTCTGCTCTCCATGTATGCTTCACCACAATAGTACATACGTTGAAGTCATGAATACACCAACAGGCTTCTTCTTACCATTATATATAATAAATCTTTAGGCTTGGGAACTAGCCTTTCGTAGTTCTGATTAAGACAAAGGTATTCATAATATTTTGACTTGGTTGTCAATCAAGGTCAATGAATCAGGGTTGACTGTATAGCATTTACGATAAAACACTCTTTAGACTCAGTGACTTAATTGCCTGCGTAACACTGGATGTAACACCTACTGGACTTTGATTGCCTGGTATAATCCGGCAGGTGGTACCTGTATATAAGGAAAATTACAATATACACATCGTATAGCTCAGGTGGCATACATATTTTCATATTAAAAGGATAAGTGTTTGTATTTAGAACGGCTTACGTGATACAAACTAAGCTAATTTTTTTAAAAAAAAAATGGCGGTTATTATTATAATTTGGGAGTTCCGAGTAGTGGTATTTAGATATGAATTTTAAAGTTTGATAGTGAGCACCAAATCAGGTTTTGTAAAGGATGATTAGACCTTGATTGTAAGTATTATAGTTATGAGAGTAAGAAGTACTTCGAAGAAAAATAAAAGGGTAATTGATATTTTTCAATGAAGAGGGAAAGTAAAGTTATTATTATAAGACTGTTTGAAGCACGTATGTTTCTTTTAGATAGACGTTTACAATGCAGGATCTTAGATAATATGGAATGTCTCTTTTTACAGATGTTTTCTAATATTATGCTTAATAATGAAATTGAGGGGTCTTTACAGTGACTGGTTTAAATAGGTATGTTTCTTTTACAGACGTTTACACTATAGGATCACTAAAACAAAATGAACGTTTCCGTGTAGGATGTTTTCTGTTTGTTTATATTAAAGATAGATTTTAAAGAGATTTTGTAGTGACTGGTTTAAATAGGTACGTTTCTTATTACAGAGGTTTACGCTATAAGGTCACTAGTATAACTGAACGTTTCCGTGAGGATGGCTTCTAGTTATAAACAAAAAAGAAAGAAAAGAAAGAGAAAAAGAAAATAAAAAAGAATGAGCAAGATAGGCTCTTTGAAGATAAAGTAAAATTGAGATAAAAGAAGTCTGAGGATTTATTTGTAGAAAAGTAAGGGATATTTATATTATTATGAAGAGCTTGTGTCACCACATGTTTGAAATAGATAAGCGGTTTTTGTTGTAACACGAGACCGCAGGCTGGATCTTTACATTATTTAGAAGAAAAATTAAAAATCGAAGAGCTTCCTCCTCTTCCTCCTCTTCCTCCTCTTCCTCCTCTTCCTCATCTCCATTGGCTTCGGATACGATATCTTCAACCCAGAGCTTAAGATCGGATTTTATCTTTTTAGTGCTTTCATCCGTTATAATTTTCATCAGGTCATTATCGTCATCAATCTTTCCTTCCTCGATGATGTTTTCCAGATTGCTCAACAAATGCTATCGAACAAAAATTTAGTAAATTTAATATGTATACTATTGAATTATGCAACAATGATTTACCTTGATTAGTGAAAAAGCCTTGATGAGTTGTGTAATTGCGCCTGTGCGAATTTGTTTTTTCGTAAAAGGAAAGGTGAATCTCATCAAATCCTCTGTGACAAGCAAACCCTTATCTTGAATTCGGACGATGGAAACGACAGCCTTGAAACCCATGATCTGTAGGTATGGAATCTTGATGGACAAAATATCACCTTGATCGAGATGGGGACATGAATTGATTATGTTCTTGATGTAAGTATACCCGCTCAGAACAAGTTTCAGCCTGTCTTTGTACAGCTTACTACTATTGATTTTGGCAGCGTACTCGCAATTGGCCGTATCCATTAAAAACTTTCCATTTTTCATCATCATCATACGCATATCAAGCCTTATAATTAAATTATTTTGGGCACAACTTTTTGGAGTTGTGTCGCCCCTAATACAAATTATGTTTAGAATGGTAGCATATACTTATGCATGAACTGTAGTTACCAATGAATAAACAGATTTTGGTTATCACCAAAGAATGTTTCGAAAGCATAGGCCCAAAACTTAATGATGAAGTCTTGTTCAGAGTACATCTTGATTCTGTCCGTATGGAAATAGAAGCTCTTTTTTAAATGCATTTTCAAGCTAAGGAAATGAGACAACATGTTAAACCAAAGTATTGTCAGTGAATTTACTCGCATTACATATATTTATAAATGTCCTTGACATTTTCATCATCATCTTCAGCATCTTCGTATGATTCTACGTTCATTAGAGCCTTCTTCAGACTTCTGTTGTCGTTGACCTTCATAAAAAGAAAAAGACATAAGTAAATGAAGCGAATTAAATATGATGTCAAATATTACAACAGAGAAAAGATTGCTACATGGTAGATTCAAATCCTCGTAAGTGATGTCCTTACAGGACAGTTGGCTAATGATTCTGGAGGCAACGTTAGAGGAACAATGCCTCAAGAAAGAGAAGCGACCTTCTCTCCTGTAAATCATAAAGTATTATATTTGTTAGAAATACACACGGGTTACTTGTTCTTTTTCTTACCCTCAGGTCCTTCCGTTCTTTTAATATCTGTTGAATGAACTATAAACAGTGCCAATTCTGTAAGAAAAGGTTTTTTTTTTTTTTTTTTTTTTTTTTTTACCAGAATTGTTTTGTCAAAAACATCGCGCAAACGACATCGCCATTAACTTGCGCTAATGGCGTAGCTGCCAACATGCGCTTACGGCATCGCTGCTGATCGGCGCTAAAAAAAGCCGTCCTTTTGTAAGGCTTCTTTTATTTAGGCGATAGCCAGGTAAGGTTACGACTTGATAAATAAAAAAAAAGCCAAAAGGATAAAGGCAGATCTTGGATACCGCCTACAGCTAGGTTTATTTTAATTTTTTTTTATGAATCAATATCTATGTACATAATCAATATCATAATAGAATAATGAGGACTTACATCGATCCCAGCTTAAAGGTGGGAGTCAGACCCGGGAGGCCTCCGTCGTATAGCCAAGACTAGCCGCAGCCGTAGTATTACCGATATCCTGAGAAAATAGAAAATCTTTTTCATTGATGAGAAAAACGAACGTTTACTTGAAAATAACAAAAGCCATTATTAACTAACCTTCTCACGATAATTTTCTTTTATGAAGATAGTGTTAAACACCAACATAAAGGAAAAAACGAAAAAAAAAATTGGGGGAAGAAAAAAGTGTGCGAACAACTTTTATTTATAGACTGATAAACAAGAGCTGGATTATGTCAGGATGACCTAATTGCTTAATTAATCACACATAAATGTTTGAAACTTTACTTCTCCATCTTAATCAGCTTATTAATCATACTTCTGGTCTGATTCGAAATATCTTGAGCAAGTAAGAAACGTAGGCCACGACATCTTTTTGGTAGACTCTTGTTCTTAAATGATTTAATGAAAGTATCGGTTTTTAGCAGCAGATGCAAAAGGTCAATTACATCATCTGATGTGCAACGATTTAAGGAATACAAAGAAAGAATTCTTGATACGACATGGAATAGTGTTGACTTGTGATTTGTGGGCGCAAAATTCGAATAATATAATGGATGTGTCGTATTTGACGCCTAATAGTACGAATATAATTACTCTTATCTTGTCACTCAATTATAATATATATAATCTATGTATTATAATTATCATATTGCGAATACCTTCCTATTGGTACGACACAGTACCAGCTCCCTCATATGTCAAACTGAGATCAGATTTCATAATCGTTCCTGGATTGGTCGAGTAGCTGCCGAATCTTCTAGTTTCTCATAGATTTATTTTAGTAATCCAATCAAGGACCTTGTCATTGAGAAGTGCCGGATATGGGTCAACTAGCTTCTAGACCCAGAATGGAAAGTCTTCGTGGAAAATCTTCGTGATACAAATCCAGCTAACGAACATCACTTATATTGATATAACAAGATATCGTATCATCAGAAAAGCGATGGGGAAAAGAGGAGCCAAAAAAAGGTTGACAAGCGCTGCTCCCCATAGGTTCTAAAGAGACCACCAGTAACCAGTATTTGGTATTGTCCATTTTGTATAATAGGCTTATAAAAGCGGTGCCTATAGGCTGTGTCCTCAGCTTAATTCCTTCCAGCTTGCTTTATACCTTGACTTCTGCTTGACATCAACAATTAAAGATGTAAGTTCTAGTGGCTCAACTGGGTACGCACAATCATCCAATGCTGCTTGATTAGATAGGAAAATATCTAACTGTGTAATCAAAACAAAGTTATCGCCATTTGTAATTATCCTTTCGATAAACATCTGTCCTAAGATTTTTAAAAGCCTTTTCTAAACTTCAGTATCAATTGGTAAGATACCATCTGTGACACTCTGTAAGGTGGGCAAATGTATAAGCTGGTACTTGGCATTCGAGTCGATAATAGAAGGTAATGGATTGTGAAGGATTTCCGCTTGATCTTTTCCTATCATTTTATATGCGTTTCCTTTTTTGAGTTCTTCGGAGACAAGTGAATTCCTTAGCCTCTTGATATTTTCTTCAACTGCAGGCCTCTTGAGTTGAAATAGCTCCATTGTCTCCAGGTAGTGCTTTTTTAACAGTACTTTGGTACTGGTTGTTTCAATATTATCCTTTTCTTTGATTCCTAAGGCAAAGACTTCGCAGTTTCTTTGTCGAAGTTTCTCATCAAGTAATGGGGATTCATTAAATGATAAGGATACATTGATTTTCTGCCCTATCATGCTTGCGATTGTAAGATAGAGGCTTACAATGCCCACAACCGGTAACGGAAAATCGGGGTTCGATTCCGGAGAGATAGCTTGAGAAACGCCTACCACATCCAAGGAACGCGGCAAGATCGCAAATTATCCAATTTAGACACGTGGAGGCAGTGAAATGGCGTCCAAGGTTTCTTCATTCACTCGGCTACTATAATGTAGTGCTAGTACATTTAAAACGACGGAAGAGGTTACGATATTGTAAAATAGCCTTGACATTGGCACCGCATTTCCAAACTTCACTTGTAGGTAGGAACAGGTCAAGCTTGGAAAAGAGTACTTCGGAAAGTCGACCATTCCTTGAACATGTGAAAGTGAAATTGTCAGTGTTTCCCTGATTACAACTCTTGAGAAGAAAACGTATAATTCCTTTGATGTTTTTGCCAGTTGGAACCGAGAATTCCATTCAAGATAGTCCTTAAAAATCAACTGCTTTAGCGATGGTGTTAACTGGAGAAGCATACTAACAACCGTTGAAATACAGGAAAAAGAAAGGTTTGGTTAAATGGACCATTCTTGCATAAAACTCGCACCCCTATTATTTGGTAAATATTTGTTTCAAGCACACATTTTTGGAATATTAAACAGTCCTTACCTTGATATACACTTGTTTCAGCCAAGTGTAATGGCTATCAAGGGGGGAACGAGATAAAAGCGCCAGTAATACACTTTGCATGGAACTAAGATTAAAGAATTAACCAGCTTCAATCGCTAGTTACTCTCTCAATGCTATAATGTTTAGGGCAAGGTGTGCACCTAAACTTTTTACACCTTTTTTAGTATCATGTAATTTTATTTTTCTACATGCTTTGAGAGTATGACTTACAGCAATCCCGGCCAAAACCTGAAAGGTTTCCGTCCTTTAGCAATCTCGGCCAAAACCTGATATGTCTTCGTCCTTTAGCAAAGACTAGCCTCAGCTACAATACCGCAAAAACTGCAATATGCCTTCTTCAATTCAGATATATAAAAAAAGAGGCAAGAATTTAGCCTTTCTTGAAAAAAAAAAAAACATTATTAACTAACCTTTTTACGGTATTCATTACTTTACGAAAAAGAAAAAAAGATATAAGTGAGAAAAGAGAGTGGGAAGAAAAAAGTATCATATTTATAGACTGATAAACAAGTCTGGGCTGGATTATGTCAGAATGACTTAATAGTTTATATAATTAAGAGCTTTTTTTGTACTGAAAAATAAGAGCTGGCATATGTCAGGATGATTTAATTTTATTTAATTGGCCATGATGTTTGAGTCTTTATTTATTATGGAAACACTTGTCAATAAACTTAAGCTTATACCCACAAGCAATTTTGAACTTGGTAATTGTTTATCAGCGTTTCAATAGTAGCATGTATCAATAGTAAAGCAGTTAATGGATGTGAACGTTTTTTTAGACTTTATCAAAAAAAAAAAAAGCACGCAGAAAAAAAAACAGGCATTTTTTCAATCCAAAGAATGGGGTTTTCAGATACCGTTGTATGTTTTTTGAAATCCGCCATTTGGGACTATGCGCACTGTATTTGATAGGATGTCCACATTAAGGCGCCACTTCCGTAAATTTGAACCTAACAGTGATATTATATTCAGCCAACAGCTAAAAATATCCTTCATATATACATAAACCCCTTATATTTTTATCAATAAAACAATATTCTATCTCTATTATAACTTTAAGATCCTCATCTATCCGGGTCACACTATTACACATGACATTAGAAAACCGGCCACAAAGGCCAAAATTCCTTGAAGTGACATACTAAACTTACAAGTTGGGCGCTTACTATCATTTGCTCCTGTGGAAATGGAGCGTTTTTAATAGTTCATAAATTCTAAGTATAAAACTGAATCAAAAGACAAAACTTATGATTTTTATTGTGAAAAGCTTATTTAAGCAAAAAATAAATACAACCTATCATAACCTATGCTTTCGCTTACACACTACACAATATTTTCTTGGCGCCCAAAGTGAATATATTATGTAATAGTTTGGCGCACCACTTTCACGCACCTACAATGAGAATATTACGTAATAAATGTGATTTAAAGCCTGATCAAGGCGAGTGCATATCATTCTGAGGGTAAACCAGTTATATAATGGAACAAGACTTTCCGGAGAGCCAGAAGACAATGAATTACTACTGTGAATTCACAGAATCTGCCCATAATGTACCTGGTAAAACGGTGTGCTTTATACCATATGGGTTTTCCAATTCATCGCGCCCGCAGAACATCTTTGATGCAAAATGGTCTGAGCCGTCAGTTTAAAACAACTAATATGCAGATTCTCTAAACATTATTAACAGATCAAGTGAAGCCAAGAATTTTGCGTTTTACACTTAATGGCTTATATCAGAGATGCTGAGTATATTTAACATGAATTTCAACACTTTTGCCAAGTAAGCATTTATATAAATTTATTCACCTGTATTTTTTGATAGACTATCTTTAACTTGCAGTTTTATCTTATTAATTAATAACAAAAAATAAATGTGTCGAAACTTGATTAGTATAGGTTTATATGCAATGAATTCGTAATTATCAAAAAAATCAAAAAATCAAATAAGTTCAACAAGACATGACAGTACACACCCGGTGTATTTTACTGCAGATTTATTTATGTTTTTTTTTGTTTATTTAGAAGAAATTTATTTGCAAAAAATAAATTTGATTCCAACGATCTTGCGTGAATAAGTCATTCTGAATCCTTATCGTGGCGTCATAATACAACTTTTAGATATGCTAAAATCGTATACTAAATTTGTATCAGTATGCATTTTTTTTTTTTTTGTATTATATCGGGTGTTTATTGTTCCCATCCAGGTCAAAGTGAGATGGAGGAGGTATCTGAAACTGGCGATTGATTTCTGTTTGGAGGTGGCACAAATAATAAACATGAAAATGTGGCATAATATTCTAATGCTCGATGTTTATACGTCAATTTAGTCTCCAATATATCTTAAACTGTATTTTTTGCTCCATGTAAGGTATCTCTTTGTAAGAATTGCCTTCCTTTTATCTTTTTCTAAACTTTTTATTCCCCCCAAAAAAAACTAGAAAGAGATGATATTTAAATTGCTCTGCGCAATCATTGTATCGTTATTTGTAGTAGATGCTTACTTCGATATACCAAATTTCAGGACAGCTCTGCCTTTTCGAGAAGGTATGTCCACCGTCACTAGAAACGGTAACAGTTTGGTGATGTTTGGTGGTAAAAATGCAACAGACTTATACGCAAACGATCTTTATCAAGTAACTCAAACCCCAGAAACAATTAATTGGAAAATTCTTGAACAAAATAACCCACCCCCTGGTACCTTGTATGGCCAAGCAGTTATTACCAATAACAACAACAATATGTACCTCCTTGGAGGCTCGACAAGCGCAAGTAGTACTCAGATGCCTGCTTTGCAGAGTTATCAATATTCTTTCGAGTCAAATACCTGGACAGCTTCTCCTAATAACTCGCTCGTCATAACAAATACCACCCTGTTTCCTTACAACAGAAAGCTTCATACCGCCACCTATGATAACCAGAACGGCATTTACATTTTTGGGGGGGCTTTTAATGGCAGCATAATATTTAACGACTTTTTCTATTTGGATATCACGACTCAACAATACACCAGATTACCCACCACTGGTATCCCGCAGTACGGTCACACCGCTTCTCTACTCAGGTTATTGATATGAACATTTGTTTGGTACATCTAATTAACCAGAAATAAATCTTTTATAGCAATGGCAAACTTGTCATTATTGGTGGTGTAGTCGAAGACCCTGACGGCGACAGAATATTGCAATCTATGTCGAGTGTATTTGTATTCGATACAAAATCACGTACCTGGGAAAATGTCAATGTTACTAGGCAGGGTTTTATTCCATCCGCGAGAACGTCTCATTCAGCTATAGTTAGTAAGTGTGTAACAATAACAACATGTCTTTTTTTTTGCTAAGCCCTATAACTACTGTAGCTTCGGACGACAGAATCATCATCTTTGGTGGTAAGACAATAAGTTTGTGAATCAGATACCGTTTTAACTGGTTTAGTTAAAGGTAGTAATGAAAGTATTGAAAGACAAAGTATGTATTTGAATGCGATTGGTATTTTAGACACAAAAAACTGGACATGGAGTACACCTGATGCTTCTGGTATTCCTCCTTTCAGACGTTCTAGTGCTTCTGCTGGTCTTTTAAATGGAAACTACTTGACTGTTGCATTTGGTAAGAAAAAAAATGCAAACGATGTAAATGCATACATATAAACCCATTTTGCATTTAGGTGCATCAAGGAATCTTTTTTTCAATGATATTAATATATATGACATTACCCACCGCAAATGGCTTCAGTCTTTTGCTCCCGAAGATAATTACGGCTTTCGGTTGACAGGTGGCGCAATCGCTGGTATAACGGTGGCCTGTATCGTTTTTCTCGTCATCATCTTTATTTTAATAAGAACATTTCAACGTTGGATCAGATGGATTGTCAGAGGTCTTTATAGTAGTATCTGGAAGCCGCGGTATGTTACTTATGATCCTTTCTTGCTTGCTTTAATTAACTTTTTTATTTTAGTTATGGTGAACCCACTTGGGCAGAGACTACCCGAATCGTTTTACAAGTCATCCTATTCTTCATTTTTTCTGCTTTTCTCGTATTCATTCTTCTTCAAGCTATCAACAGCCCAAACATCACTCAAACGATTGAAAAACCTGTTACGTCCGTCCAAGTCCCGGGTAAATAATGTCATATAAATATACAAAGAACATAGAGAATTAAAAACTTAATTTAGATGTACGTTTCTGTTTCGACGGATTTCCTCCCTATAATTCAACCGACATTAGAATGCCTGGCGTCACTTGTATGACGGATATTGGTTATCCGTGTACTGAATATGTTCGTCCATTGAATATGTCTATTTTTCAGCCTACTTTTGCTGATAGTTTTGGTTCAGTTAATTGCTTTCTTTTCAGATCGCCTACTGATTTCTTTCTTACATCTACTTTGGGTCAGAACAATGGGTCCAGGCTATTATTTAACTTCTGGGGAGATCAAACAATCGAGCATGGAAGTATACATGTATCCATTTATCCAAAGACAATGAACCCGAACACCGTCATGTATAACATCTTGGATGGACCCGCCACATTAATGACGAGTATTTCGGATTGGATAAACAACGAAATAAGTGATATTCAAGCAACCAATGTCTTTGATATTCAACCTTTTAGCTACAGTTCTATCTCTTACAACTTAGTCGATCATACACATTTACAATCTGTAGGTTGGAATTATATTGGATTCTCACCCGTTTTAAATTCGACACCTGAAGTGGTCTCTAATTTCCGTCAAGAAGCGCCCAATTCTCAATACCCTATAGGTCATCCCGATATTGGCTTCATTGCCATATTTCCTGAGGCATTTGTCGATACGATTAAGCGAGAAGTCAAAGTTTATACTTTGGTCAATGCCCTTGGTTTTGTGGGTGGTACACTTGGTCTGTTAATTGCTGTTCAAACATGGCTGATTGGTTTCCGCCCTAGATCTCCTTGGGGTGTGGTTCATCGATGGAGTATGGGTGACATGAAACGCTCATTGTTGATTAATCTTCGATCCAAATTTCGAATCACGGACTCGGGTGTTCCTCTAGTGCATCCTGTGAGTAACCGGTATAGCATTAATGAATTTATGGGTATGCAATATGCGACAGAAGCTCAACGAATTCATCGTGTAGAAGAGCGTATACAAACGTTGGAATTGATGTTTAAAGCCTATTATGTGGATGACGAAATTTTTAGATCGTTGAATGATGCAAATGAAGCAGGAGAAGTGAATCCTACGAGGGATGTGAGAGTGGGTGGTAGTCATAGTGTGAACGATAGTGGTCAATTTCCACCCTTTAGTTCTTTACAAGCATCGCCAAGAGCCCAAAACATGATTGACGATGAAATGTTGACTCGTACAAGTAGTGTGAGAAAATCTCATCCTGATCACTTTCTTCAGGAGTTCTCAAGACATGATACCGGTCAAAGTGGATCATCTGATATTCCTTTAATTCATATACAACACCCAGATGCACCCCCTCGTCAGCTAAATACATCTGTGCAAAACAACGATTTATAAAAACACATATATATCTTTTATTAAATAACATTTATGTTTATCAGCTATAAACATTATACAGTGGCTTTACCCCCAAAATTTGGTTTGGCCAAAATCCGTTTTTGTTTTTATTTTTCTATTAGTCGAAATTCGGCTTTGATACCAAAATTATGTTTCGGTCAATGGGAAAGCGAACTTTTAGTTGGAGACAAAAGCGAAATTACAAAGTTGGTAGATAAACAAACTTTGGTGGGTGGAGCCACTGTACATACACACATTCCTTTCGTATCACTCCTCACCCTATCCTTCTTTTCTTACTCTCTTCTTTAATACATATAAACTCAGTGACAGTTCCGATAATCAGACAAGGCATATATGTAGGATAAAGCGTACCCAGAGAGAGCTCTTATAACAAGCACTAACCATAATAAAAGTATCGCAATAACCTTACCTCCATCCAATTACATTAACTTGAAACTAGAAAGATTTTAATATTCATTAATGTCGAAATTAAACCAATTGCACAATTATAAGAGAGATATAAAATATTTATTGCAAATTATAACAGTGGTTGTGCTAGATGGGTCTGTCTTATAAATGAAACCAGGATCACAGAAGTTTCCACAGCACTTCCAGTGTTTTCTGAAGCTATCTAAGGATGGCTCCCAATTGTATGCTATCTCTCATAAATTGGTGCTCAGAGAATGTCTTTCTGATATATCAATGAAAATTTGTAGCATTATCATTTTTTTTTTTGTCACACAAGTGAAATCAGATCAGTCCTTTACGGCTAAACACATGTGTTTACGTAATGCTTTTGAAACTATAAAAAATTTTATGGTGTGCATGACCTTTACTTTTTTCTTTAGCATTCTTTTTTTTTTTCAATCGTTCTCAAGCCCCAATATCAAAGACTTTAAGTTGTATCTGTCAGCCTCTTTTGTCTTTTGATATTCCACTTCTTTTTCAAATCCACGTTCCGCATAGTTCACGCCTTCGTGCGTACTAGCACTTTAGTGGTACTCTATCAAATGCTGTGTGATCCCCTTTTTATTCTCTCCCCCCCCCCTCCCCTAATCCACAGCTGCTTGTGCTTTTGACTTGTGTTTCGTAGCCTTGCGTTAATTTTTTGGGATTAGCGAGCTCATACCTTCTCGTGGTTTTTCCTGTTAATCAGAAAAGTGCATTTCGCGTTTTTCTGAGAACTAAATTGAGCTCACACTTATAAATAAATAAAAGCCTTGTTTTTACTTTCAATCTTTCCAAGTAGTTCATTAAAATAACTCAATAGTGACATACATGTCTTGAAAACTTAAATATTCTAAGAGAGACAGGTGAAACAAGTGTTGGCTTTATTTGACCTGTCTCAAACTGCTTACTAACGAGGTAACAATACACCATTTAGAAAGATCGATCTTAAAATCTACACTCCAGTGTCTAGAAATAAAAGCGAATACTGGTTACAGAATGTTATTCTTATTTTTACTATGCATTTCTTTATCTGTGAGCTTGTGACTTTACACTTACAAAGTTAGAGGTAGCTAATCAGCCTTCCCAAGGGCATTTTTTCTATTCCAAAGATTGGTCTTTTCAGAAACCGTTATTTTGAATTGTACGGACTGTATTTGTTAGGATGTATAATATTGGGTGTTTATTGTTTCCATCCAGGACACGATGAGATGAATACCTGAAAAGGGTGATTGATTTCTGTTCGGTGGTACAAAAGTCAATAATAAGCATATAAATATGGCACAATATTCTAATACTCGATCTTTATATGTTTATTTGATCCCTGGTGAAGACCTAAAGAAGGATTTCCTTCCTTTTTTCTTTTTCTTAACCTTTTTTATCTATCCTAAAAAAATAAACAAATAATAAATGCTATTAAAATTGCCCTGTGTAATCCTTTTATTCTTATCTGTGGTAGAGGCTTACTTCTATGTACCAAATTTCAGAATAACTCTACCATTCATCAATGGTGTGTCCACTGCCACAAGAAATGGTAACACCTTGGTAATGTTTGGCGGTGAAAATACAACAAATTCATTCACAAACGATCTTTATCAGTTAACACAAACCTCAAAATCATTTAATTGGCAAATTCTTGAACAAAATAGCCCTCCTCCTGGTACATCGTATGGTCAAACAGTTCTTACTAATAAAGACAATATGTACCTCCTTGGAGGCGTAACAAACGTCACCAGCACGCAGATGTCTGCCTTGCAGACCTACCAATTTTCCTTCGAGTCAAACACTTGGACAGCCTCTCCCAATAATTCCCTTGTCATGACAAATACCACCCAGTTTCCTTACAACAGAAAGATGCATACCGCCACCTATGATAACCAGAACGGCATTTATATCTATGGTGGTGCTTTTAATGGTAGCATAATATTTAACGACTTTTTCTATTTGGATATCACGACTCAACAATATACCAGCCTACCCATTACTGGAATCCCACATTACGGTCACACCGCTTCCCTACTAAGGTAATGGAATATAAATATTTATTTGGTATGTTAAAATAAACAAAAATAAAACGCTTACAGTAATGGGAAACTTGTCATCATTGGTGGCGTAGTTGAAGACCCTAACGGCGATATGATATTGAAATCTATGTCTAGTGTATTTGTATTTGATACAAAAGCAAGTACTTGGGAAGATGTTAATGTTACTAATACATATTTGCCATCAACTAGAACATCTCATTCAGCTGTAGTTAGTAAGTGTGTAACAATAACAGTATATCTTTTTTTTTCTTGCTAAGCCCAATAACTACTATAGCTTCGGACGACAGAATCATCATCTTTGGTGGTAAAGCTTTTTTTGTAGCTCAGATGCCGTTTAAAAATGTAAAATAACTGGTTTATATATAGGTGATAATGGAAGCGAAAGAGGAAGAATTTTTTTGAATGCGATCGCTATTCTTGACACAAATACCTGGACATGGACTATGCCTTCCGTTTCTGGTATCCCTCCTTCCAGACGTTCTTACGCTTCCGCTGGTATTTTGAATGGAAACTATCTGACTGTTACATTTGGTAGGAAAAAGACGATGGACGCAAGTACATATATATATATATAAGCATACTTAGACTTGATTTATATTTAGGAATAGCACAAAGTATCTTCTTCAATGATGTGAATGTATATGATATTGCTGGCAACAAATGGATTCAGTCTTTCAATTCCAATGATAATCACAGATCCGGGTTATCAGGTGGCATAATCGCTGGTATAACAGTGGCCTGTTTTGTCCTTGTCGTCATCATCCTATTTCTACTTTGGAAATTTCAACGTTTTATCAGATGGGCTCTCTGTCGTCTTCATCGTAATATTTGGAAGCCGCGGTATGTAATTTATAATATTTTATTGCTTGCTTTAATTAACTTTGTTATTTCTAGTACTGGCGAACCTGTTTGGGCAGAGACTACTCGAATCATTTTCCAACTTATCTTATTCTTCATTTTTACTGCTTTTCTTGTATTCGTTTTTCGACAAGTTCTTAATAGTCCGAAAATTACTCAAACGATTGAAGAACCTGTTGGATCCGTCCAAGTCCCGGGTAAACAATTACATGTTCTCCATATCTATTTACACAAAGAACACAGAAAAATTAAATTTTAACTTAGATGTTCGTTTCTGTTTCGACGGATTTCCTCTTTATCCTTCGACCGACATAAGAGCACCTGGTGTCACTTGTCAGACAGATATTGGCTACCCATGTACTCAATTTGTTCGTCCATTGAATATGTCTGTTTTTCAGCCCTCTTTTGCTGATAGCTTCGGCTCAGTCACTTGTTTCCTTTTTAGATCGCCTACTGATTTCATTCTTACATCTACTTTGGGTCAAAACAATGGGTCCAGGCTATTGTTCAACTTCTGGGGAGATCAAGCAATCGAGCATGGAAGCATACACGTATCCATTTATCCAAAGACAATGAACCCTAACACCGCACTTTATGACATCTTGGATGGTCCCACCACAGTGATGCCAATATATGACGTCTCGGACTGGCTAAGAAACGAAATAAGTGATATCCAAGCAACCAATATCTTTGATATACAACCCTTAAGCTACAGTTCCCTCTCTTATAACTTGGTCGATCATACATATTTACAAGCTGTAGGTTGGAATTATATGGGATTCTCACCCATTTCGGATTCGATACCTGAAGTAATGTCTAACTTCCGCCAAGAAGCACCCAACCCAGAATACACTTTACTTCATAAAGATCTTGGTTTCATTGCCGTATTTCCTGAGTCGTTTGTCAATACGCTTAAGCGAGAGATCAAGGTGTATACTTTGGTCAATGCGCTTGGTTTTGTAGGTGGTATACTTGGTCTGTTAATTACTATTCAAACATGGCTGTTTGGTTTCCGTCCTAGATCTCCTTGGGGTGTGATTCATCGATGGAGTATGGGTGTTATGAAACGCTCATTATTAAGTGGTCTTCGATCCAAATTTAAAACCACCGAATCGGGTATTCCTTTAGTGCATCCTGTGCATAAGCCGTTCAGTGCTGCGGATTTAAACCACGAGGGCTTTGACGAACCAGAGACACAACGTATGCATTGTATAGAAGAGCGTGTACAAATGTTGGAAACGTTGTTTAAGGCCTATTATGTGGATGACGAAATTTTCAGATCGTTGAATGATGCAAATCAAGCAGAAGAACTGAATCATGAGCTCCCAAGACAAGATACAGATCAAAGTGAATCATCTAATATTCCTTTAATTCATACACACCACCAATATGTATCTCCTCATCAGTCCAATACAGTTGTTCCAAAGCATGATTTATAAAAGCATATATATATATATATCTACATATATGTTTTTTTAAACAACATTTATATTTATCAGCTATGAACATTATACAGTAGATCTACCCCCCAAATTTGGGTTTTCATTGGCCACAATCCTTTTTTTGTTTATTTTTCTATTAGTCGGTCAATGGCAAAACGAACTTTTGGATGGAGACAAAAGCGAATTTACAAAGTCGGTAGATGAACAAACTTTGGTGGGTGGAGTCAAATTGTACATACACACATTCCTTTCGTACTACTCCTCATCCTCCCCCCATTTTTTTACTCTCTTCTTTAATACATATATGTAGGATGAAGCGTACCCAGAAAGAACTCTTATAACAGACTCTAACCATAATAGAGATATCGTAACCACCTTCCTTCATTCTTATTGTATTAGCTTGGAGCTAGAATTCTTATTGGAAACTATAACAGTGGTTGTGCTGGATGGGTCTTTCTTATTGAAACCCGGATCACAAAAGCTTCCACAGCACTTCCAGTGTTCTCTAAAGAAAATTAAAGATAACTCGCAATTGTATACCATCTCTCATAAATTGGCGCTCAGAGAATGTCTTTTTGATAAATTTCGATGAAAACCTTGAGTGCCCACCAAAAAAAAAGAATCTCTTTTTTCCCTCCTCCAGGAATGTCACACAAGTGCTTACAAGTGCACAAAAATATTTGATATCGCACAAATTGGGTACCATGAGCTCTGTATGATATCAATTGCCTAAATATTGATAATAAAAAATTAAGCGAATCTTATGTTGGTCGTTGTACAAACGTTTTGCATATGAAAATCTCGGTCCCTGGCAATCGATTCTCTGGGCCAATCACAATGCTGTTTATGCCTCTTTTTTATTTTGGTTTAACCCCTCTTTTGGTTGCCTAAAAAAAAAAAAAAAAGCACACAAAGATTGGGGGTAACATCTTTGAAAAAAAAAAAAAAAATTATGTATAAAAGAGGGTTGAAATAAAAATGACGGTTTCAACCTTTTGTAAAATATAAATAGATATCAATTCAATGGCTATACAGCAACGTAATTTCAATAAGGAACCAGAGACCGATAGTTTCCAAGAGTCCCAAGACACGGATAGTTTGTTAAAATCGTCACAACAACCTAAAAAATTAGTCTTTGACTATGACGAGATTCCAGCATGGATGCATGACAATGTTTACATTACCGGTGGTTACCGACCTCAAACGAACAGCTATCGAGAATGTATCAACAGTTTATGGTACCTTCACAACGAAAGTGGTAAGCTCTTTTCTTTTTAAAAAACTCGTTGACTTTCTGACTCTTTCTTTTTACAAAAAAAAAAAAAAGTCAACATTTGGAGTCATTTACTGGCGTATTTCATGTTTGTCGGCTTCGGTATTCACTTCTTATGGAGTCAACCATTCGAATCCTCCATTACAATTTTCGACTACATTTACTTTTTCTTATTTATCGCTGGCGCTCTTATGTGCCTTAGTTTTAGCGCCATCTTTCATTGCTTCTCTTGTCACTCCGAACCCGTCGCTCACAACTGGAACCGATGTGATTATGCAGGTATTACCTGTCTCATTGTGTAAGCTCTTTTTTGTATGTGTATGTGTGTGTCTGTGTGCGTGGAATCTAATTGTTTATATTTTTTTTTTTGCTAGTGGCTCGTTTTTCCCTGTCATTTACTATGGTTTCCATTGTCATCATTTATTCCAAGGTAAATATTCCATTTTTTTATTTTTTTATTCATTTGTAAATGTGTGGCTCATATAAACTGTGTTAGTGATTTATATGACCATTATTGTCACGATGGGTGCTGCTACGGTAAGTAATTGAGATGTAGATATAGGATGTCAACTGATATAAAGGGGTGGTGGGGAATATAGGCTGCGGTCACCTTAATGCAACATTTCCGTACACCTGCTTACCGATGGATTCGTGTCACACTTTTTGTGGCACTTGGATTATTTGGTGTTGTCCCTACCATTCATGGTATTTGGATGTACGGCGTAAGTAGGATTGGGGTTAAGTGTTTAAAAAGTAAAGAGAGAGAGAAGTGCTAATTTTATTTGGAATCTAGTTGGATAATGCCAACAAAACCATTGCTTTATCCCATATGGCCTTGATGGCTGTTTCTTATATCGGTGGTGCATTGATTTACGGCTGTCGTTTCCCCGAAAGAGTTCGACCTGGCATGTTCAACTACTTTGTAAAGTGGCACATCTACGTAATATAAGGGAAACTTTTTTTATTCACTCATCTTTTTTTTTTTTAGGGTGCATCACATCAAATCTTTCACATTTGTGTCGTTATTGCTTTACTGGCTCATTACACTGGTGTCTTGAGCGCAATGGCTTTCTGGCATGATCCTATCAATCAAGACTTTTGTTCTGCCTTTATCATTTAAATCAATGAATACACTACACAAACACACACACATATATATATAGAATAAACCATCTTTTTATTAATCATAACGGATCAATTGGCAGACTTTTTTTTTTTTTTTTTTGCAGAGTAATTTATGCCTTGTGAGATATTAAAGTTGGGGTGTCCGTAGGTAGGAGTGGAAGTTAACAAAACGATATTGGACTCATTAAAAGACGATCTTTTTTGTTTTATGAGTTTTTTTACATTCTATGTGAGTTAACTCGAAAGACATGACTATAACATGCTCCTAAGTAGATGGCCCTGAGACCATTGTTACGACTGCAAAAAGCATAAAGTGTTGGAGGCTATTTATCAACTGGTTATGATCATAGCCAAAGGTAAAGATCAGAAAGTGGACTTTCTCTCTCTCTCTCTCTCTCTGAGTTGGTTTATTTAAGGCTACTGATGAAAAAGAGATTTAATAAATGTTTAAATGCAATTGTGGGACAGAGAAATAAAAAAGCAGAAAATGACATTTAAACCCCGAAAATAATCACCCCATTTGACATGCGGTGTGCCATACCGAACATGGAGAGTTTTAAAAAAGGAAGGAAGGAATTTTCTTTTTTCTTCCTCTCTTCTTTGCTTTTACTCACAGAAACAAAAAGATGAACGCTACGTTAGCAGAGGGACATAAGACAACCTGGCTTGAAGCTCAATGGGAAGACTGTTACCGTGATCGTAACCCACTGCTTGTCACAGGTGTATTGGCCTTTGTCATGCACGAGCTTGTGTATTTCGGTCGCTTCATTCCCTTTTTAATTTGTGATTATGTGCCTTACTTTCATCAATACAAGATTCAACAAAACAAGATCAACACCACTGCCGATTACTGGAAATGTGTACGACAAGTCCTTTACCAACATTTCTTGTTTGAGGGTCCTCTCATCTTTTTATTTCACCCCATGGCTTCTATTATTGGCATGAACGTCTCCACTCCCTTTCCTGAATGGTAAGTGTATAAATACGAGTGACATGTGAAATATATATTGACTCATTCGAATAATAACAGGAAAAATATCTTACCTCAAGTCTTTATCTTCTTTGTGTTTGAGGATGGTTTCCATTACGTTGTTCACCGCGCGATGCATTATCCTCCACTTTACAAGGCCATTCATAAGGTACATCATGAATACTCTGCACCTTTTGGTATTGCTGCAGAATACGCTCATCCTTTAGAGACATCCATCCTTGGTTTCGGTACCATTGGTGGTCCCCTTATCTACCACGCCGTAAACAAATACATTTTACATTCGGGTCCTCAATGGCAACTTCATCTCTTTACGATGCTTTTCTGGATCGTCTGTCGATTATGTCAAGCCATTGACTGTCATTCTGGTTACGATTTCCCTTGGTCTTTGCGTCATTTCATTCCATTTTGGGCAGGTGCAGATCATCATGATTATCATCATATGGCCTTTGTCAATAATTTCGCTTCCTCTTTCCGTTGGTGGGATTATCTCTTTGGCACAGACACCAAATATCGTGCTTACCGTAAACGTCAAGCGGAAGAGAAACGTATCTTGAAGAAGAAGGGTTTATAAAGACCCCACTTATATTTATAGAGTGTTTCCTTTTTTCTTTTTTTGTATCATAACATCTATTTAAATATTTACCCCCACGTCTATACACAACACACACATCATCATAATAATTACAGTAATAATAAAAAAAAAAAAGTTTAATTTTTAATTATAGTTAGAACCCAGGATTTAACACGGGCGATCGTTTCTCCCAGAACAAGGCACGTAATCGAACACTTAAAGAATGTAATAACAAGACACGTCGACTGGGTGGAGGTACAATTCTTTGAATACGATGTTCACGAATGAAACCCAAATGATCAAATTTATAGATAAATACACCTTCAATATGTCGCACTCTTTCCACAGGTTGAAGTAACAACGGACTCGGATGTTTAATCCCTTGCATTTTCCAATTCACTTGTAATCGCTTCACAATACCTCTTTCCTTCATATCACTCTCTGTCTCTTGTATCGATGACATGGGCATACTATCATCATCGTCATCATCATCATGTAAATCCTCATCAGGTTCATCATCTCCCAATACTCGCATCTTTGTCACTTGTACTTGAATATCATCATAGTATAAATTCGTGCTCCATTTTAACATTTGGGATATCGTTAAATACGCCGTTCGACTGTGGATGGATAATTTGGTATAATGTGGGTCAGATAGTACAATATCTGTTGAATAGATTTCGGGTTCCGTCAGTCCGTTAGCAAAGAACAATGGTAAATCATCCTGCAGTGTAGCAATGGCTGTCAATCCCCTCGTTATATCAGTAAAAATTAAAAAAGGAGGTGGGGGTCATGCCCAACTCAAGGAAAATAATTTTTGTATGTCGCTTACCGTAACCTACTCGTAATTCATATTCTTTAGGTCGTTGTTGCTCTGATCGAACATGCGTAGTAGAATGAAATAAACAGGCACTTGGTTTAACCAGACGTCGTGGAATGCGTAACAAGGCAATTGACATTGAAGTATGTAAATATGCGTTTAACTAAAAGAAAAGGGAAAAAATATGCTGAAAAGCGTCACTTTTTATTTTTATTTTTTTTTATAGTGTGTTGAGTTTGAAATGATTTTTGTAAAATCAGCAGTTTGCTCATATGAAAAAAATAAAATGTCATACATCTACATTGATTGATTAATTTACAAATTCTTTTAACAATGCTCACACTGTATGAGACATTGTGGGCGAATTGGTTGGTGGTGGACTTTTAAATAGTCGGAACTGGATTCCCTCCCCTTTTTTTGTACAAAAAAGGGGTAGAGAAGAAAAATTGTTATTTTTTCATCATTTTTTTTTTTTTTCCCGGTAATTCTTTTCTTCATGGAAAACCATACTGTACCTATTAAACAAGAACCAGTGACAAATGAAGTCATAATCAAGCAAGAATGTGAATATACTACTGTCTCCAAATATATCCTCTCTAATAATTTACAATGTGCTTTCGCTCATGTTGTAGAGAATGACGATGGTCCCGAGAATGCCATCGTTCCAGAGAATGTCAGTGCTACTGAAACTGTCAATACTACAGAAACTGTCACTTCTCCAGAGAGTGTTCATGCTGAAGAAACTGTCACTGCTGCCGAAAACGCCAATACTACAGAAACTGTCAATATTACAGAAACTGTCACTGCTCCCGAGAGTGTTCATGCTGCCGAAAGTGTAACTGCTGCCGAAAACGCGAATACTACAGAAAGTGTCAATATTGCAAAAAGTGCCCACGGTACAGAGAATACCAGTGTTCTTGGTAGTGCCGATGATTTAATGGTTTCCAATGCAGCAGAAAGTGTCAATACTGAAGAGAGTGTCAATACTGAAGAGAGTGTCAATACTGAAGAGAGTGTCAATACTGAAGAGAGTGCTATTGTTGTAGAGAGTGTCAATACTGAAGAGAGTGCTATTGTTGTAGAGAGTGTCAATACTGAAGAGAGTGCTATTGTTGTAGAGAGTGCATATGCTGCAGAGAGTACACATGCTTCAAAAAGCACCAATGTTAAAGCGAGTACCAGTGAAATGCAGCAATCTGTCAAAGGTCCTAGCCCAAACATAGCGTTCTTAATTAAACCGGTAGAAATCTACACTAGAATCTCAGACCACTGCCTTCATCCTACTTGCACTCGCATTAAAAAAAAACTATCTGAGGACATTCCTAACTCCTGCTTCAATGCCTTTTTTATCGAACACCATGTGAATCATCTGAATAGCGATCTTAAAAAGGCGTATGATCAGCTAGCGGAGTATTATACTCGGATTGCCAATATTAGCGACGATAAAAATATTAAAATAACTGCTGCCAAGGTAAAGAGGCTAGTAACACTGTATGACTACACCAGCAAAACCTTCAAAGACACAGTGAATCTGAATCAAATATTCCTGGACTCTTTTGCAAAACCGAAAGATCCTTTATTCGGTGATCCCAAAAGCATCGAGACTCACAATTTTACCCTGTCCCACTTGGACCTCTCCAAAATTGATCGAAACGACTCTACGGTCGTGATTGACATCAAACGAAGCATGGATACATTTATTTCGCATTTTGAAGCTATTTATGTTGCCCATGGCGTGGATGTTGAGAGACATTGGTTTTTTCATCTACGTCAGTTGTTTATGAAAGACACCCGTGTTTCTGATTGGTTTTACGACACTATCTTTACTAAATACTTAAAGAATGATGGCTTAATGACCTGGACTGAAGCAAAAAAATTATTGGATGACAAGTTTGGATACAAGGCTCGATATGGAACTTATATTATGCACCAACAGCTCCACAATGTCAAACAGGAAAAGGGCGAGGACTTTGGAAAGTATGTGACCCGCGTTCATGATTGTGCAAGGATTGCTATGGTTGACAGGACGGATAATTTCTTTTTATGCAACGTGTTTCTGTCTAATTTATACAATAAGGATATACAACGCCATGTCAAAGAAATTCTTGAAGACCATCTCAAAGAGGTGCATGGAGACGACGCAATGGATCCGCTCGCACGTGAAGATCAATTCATGAAATACTATAGCGATTTCCGGAATGTGGATAACGCTGTTCACAAGAGAAGTTCTCAGCTTAATAAATGCGATCACTTACATAGTCATGACTTTAGTAATTGGCAGCATGTGGAAGCTGAGCAAATACTCAGTCCTGCTGACCATGCTTATAAAAAAAGAAGAATATAAACTCTAGTTGTTGTTGTTTTCAAAAAGAAATAATAAAAAAAAAAAAAAAAAAAAACTCATCAATGACATGCTCTGTATCACCAGTAGTAGCCAGGATGAAGGGGATAGTTCAACATCACTTGACGAAATAACCTCATATACCAAAGCCTTCTTTTTTTTTTTCAAAATAAACTGTGTTGTCGTGATACAAATGATGTCTTTTGTCGTACTCACCCGCCTACCATATAAAAAATGACGGGCGTGTGGGGTTTTAATCTTCTTTTTTTTCTTGTTTTTTATTTTAATGACGAGTAGTTTAACCAAATTCGACACAGGTCATGAAGACCTTATTCATGATGTAGCGTATGATTTCTATGGAAAGCGTCTAGTCACCTGCTCCTCCGATCAACGTTTAAAAGTATGGGACTTTATCGAACGCTCCGATGCCTCCGTATGGGAAATGAACGATGCGTGGAAAGCACACGATTCCTCCATCTTGAAAGCCATTTGGGCTCGACCTGAGTATGGTCAAGTCATTGCCAGTTGTTCATTTGATCGTCAAGTTAAAATATGGGAAGAGCAAACCGTTGGTAAAACATTCCTTAAAAAAAAGGCACATGCATACAGACTAAAATTTCTCTCTCTCTATCTCTTTTAAAAAAAAAGAACCGAGAAACAGCCAAAAGCGTTGGGCAGAACGATTTCGTCTCGTGGAATCCAGAGGTGCGGTATTAGATATTGCTTTTGCACCCACCCAAAACTCTTTACGATTAGCTACTTGTTCTTCAGACGGTATTGTTCGTGTTTATGAAGCCTTAGAACCTACCAACTTGGCCCAATGGTCCCAAATGGAAGAATTCGAGATTTCAAGTATCGCTTATAACGATCCTAAAAACCTACAAGGTCTACAAACGCAACAACCTTCACAACCTCTCCTTCAACAACAAGTGCAACAACAAACACAGTATGGATTTCATCATCAGTCGCAACAATTAACCCCTCTTCAAAACCAATTTCAACAACAGCAACAGCTGCATCAACAACAGCAACAACAACAACAGCTACTGCAACAACAACAACAGCAACAGCAACAGCAACAACAACAACAAATGCAACAAATGCAACAACAACAGCAACAACAACAACAACAGTTACCTCCTCATCCATTTCAACAACCGATACATACGAATAGCACGAGTTCGAGTGGGAGTTCGATTGCTAGCCATGGTGTATCGACACCGGGTGTATCTGATATTCCTACGATGACTAGTACAGCAACGGCAGGATTTGTACAGGGCGTCTCTCCAGGGTCTTCTGCAGGTATTGGAGGAGTTCAAACAGCTGTAGTGAACAATATTCATCGTCCTATTGATGCGGATAGTGGTTATTGTATTGATTGGTGTCCCAACCGTACACCCACGCCCATGATGGTAGTTGGCTTGGGCAAAGAAATTGGAGCCAGGGTAAAAAAAAAAAAAAAAAAAAAAAAAAGACATGTGTAGATGATGACTATGATGAATAACTAAAAAAAGAAAGAAGTAGATATTTAAACATGACGGACATAATCGATGGATTCCTTCAGAGTTTTTACCTGGTCATACAAAGGAAGTGCATGACTTGAGTTGGGCACCTAGTATGGCTCGATCGTATCAATTGATTGCGACAGCATGTAAAGATGGTGTGGTGCGTATTTATAAATTAACGGAGCAAGGACAGACCCGTAGTAACCGTATGCCATTGAATTCACCTGCAGGCACACCTACGCATGTCAACGGTAAATTATTTCATGTGGAATTAATTGCTTCCTTTGAAGACCATCAAGCAGAAGTATGGCGTGTAGAATGGAATATCACTGGTACCATTTTATCTTCTTCAGGAGATGATGGAAAATTACGTTTATGGACTGCTGGTTATGATGGAAAATGGAGACAAATGGCTTCTATTACTGCCAATGCTCAAATTCCTTCATAAGAAAAAAAAAAAAGTTTTTTTTTTTTTTTTTTTGTTCTCCCAGTGTGTGTGAAAAAATATGATGATTTCGCTTACAGGCCCTTTTTTTTTTATTATTTTTTTTTTTATTTGTTTATTTTAATGTGTGAAAAAAAAAATCTTTTTTTTTTTCTTTGGATGATGCTATTAACAATAGGTCCCCTGGGACAGATGTATGGAAAGAAAGAGAGAGAAAAGAGAGAGAAAAAGAGAGAGAGAGTTTAAGCAGAAACGATTTTCTTTGGTCTACCTCTGCCACGCTTAGGAATTGATGGATCAATGACCTTTTGCTTCTTTTTGGGAGTTGTACTGGCGGGTCTTCCACGCTTTCTCTTTACAGGCTAAATACACAGTTTTTTTTTTTATATGTCAACAACAACACACACGACTTTTTTTTTTTTTTTTTTTTTTTGCTAAAAAAAAAATTTTTTTTTTTTTATATCTTTTTTTACCTGTTCTTCAGTCTTTGTATCTGTGTTGGTGGTGGTGGAAACATCCAACTTATCCACGACATCCTCCTTTGTTTCCTTGACCTTTTTATCTTCTGCCACAGTCTCGGGTTTGTTACTTCTTGTACGAGAAGTGCTTTCAGCAACAACAGCCACGGGTTCTTCTACCTTTTCCTCACTTGAAACCTTCTTGGGACGAACCATATTATTTATATTTTAATAAAAAAAAAAAAAAAGAATAAAAAAAAAAGGGAAAAAAAAAATATATAAAAAAAAAAAAACGAGGGAAAGGTTATTTTTTTTTTTTTTTTTTCTCGTAAATTTTTTTTTTTTTTCTATTGGTTGACCCCTTTTTTTTTTTTTTTTTTGCGGGGACTGGGCCACGCGGAATATTAAAAAATCCATGCAAAATGAAAAAAAGAAACACATTCATTTTTTTACGTGTTCTTTTAAAAAAAAAAAAAAAAAATTCTTATCCATCTTTTTTTTTTTGATAAAGTGTCAGAGATAATGGTATCTTCTCCTCCTCCCCCCAAAAAAAAAATTCATATATAAAAAGCAACGTCGACATGGAAACCATGTTGTGTTTCAACCAAGGGAACTGTGTCTTGGCAAATCATCACTGCCAAATAAACTTTTTTTTTTTTTTTATCATCCTCGTCTCACAGAACTCGAAGCATTTCGTCTCTACGTCGACTTTATTTTCCGCTCTGAAGCCTCTCTTTACACTTCTTTAAAATCAAGTCATCATCTTGTTTATCCTTAATTTTTTTTTTTTTTTTTTTTTTAAATACGTGTCTCCCTGAACCCCACTCATTCTCTTGCATTGGCTGGCTGATCATCGTAAAATGGGGGTACACAAACACTCGGTTATACAAACCATCGTACATTCTTTCCATTATCATTGATATACAAAAAGGACAGGCTGAGCTAACGAACACATTGCATTGCCCATTTAATATCATGTTGACTCATCTGACACATAAAGATATATATTTAGCAGTCCGTCATAATACCCCCTTGTATCCATCCTTTAAAAAAAACGAGAGATGTCTTCAACACTCCTCAAAATTATATATCTCCCATAACCAATGGTTGCTATCTCTAGATATAATAAACAATTTATGTGACAGCACATCTAAATGTGAAATCATGGCATCCTTTCTTTTTTTTTTTTTTCTGTTGGCCTGAACTTATACGCATCCCAAAGCTTACATTCGCTTGTCAGAATTATATATATATATAAAAGAGACTGCTATGTTTATAATGGGGACCTATCCTTCTTTTGTGACACCAGTTTCTTCAAAAAGAACTGGTTTACATCTAGATGTGTTTCAAAAGCAAAATCATGCTTGTAGGCTAATCAAAGAAGATTTGGGTTCATTGAATAAAATTATTTTATAGATTAAAAGCGAAAAATAAAAAATAAAAATAGTTCTTGCCAGACACCCCCAGTGTGTGTGTGTGTTTAAAATTTAGATAAATGTCTCTTGATAAGAACACCCACCATGATGAGTAAGAAAGACACCCACTTGACATGTTTCTTGAATAAAATATACCGGAATTGAAGGGGGTGTGTCACAAGAATAGCACGCAATAATACTAGCTTGGCTTGACTGGCAGGTGGGTATCGCACTTGCATCAGCCATTCCAATCGTTGCTTCTTGCTCAACACGGCTCGTTCTTGAGAAAACGTCTGGAAGGATTTCTCTCCGTGATAACTTCCCATACCAGAACTACCAACCCCACCAAAAGGTAGAGCATATTCTATTCGTTTATCTTAGTACCTTTTTCTTTTATATATATATATCTTATATATTTACCATTTTGATGCAACAAGGTGTCGTTAACAGTGACGCCACCTGAAGTAGTAACATTTAACACTGCACATTTCAAAAAAAAAAAAAAAAAAAAAATGGGTTAAATCATTGCAAGATAAAAAGGTGCGAGACAATTAAAATATTTACCTCTGTCAATCAATGCTTGCTTTTTTGTAAACAGATACAGAGCAAGTGGAGGTTCACTACAAAAGAGTATATAATCTATCAGCACACATCATTTTTTTTTTGTATCATCCACATTCAAAATAAAATTTTACTGTCTTGATATGAGCCCTAAAGCTTCTTCCATATCCGTATAAGTGATAACAGGAAGAATAGGACCAAATACTTCATCTGCCATCAACACCGGATCAAAAAACTTTACGTTGGCAATAACAGTAGGTGCAATGTAAAGCGAATCGCGATCGGAATCACCACCCAGCACAATATCGCCGCTTTGTCGATCATGCATCATGGATAAAAGTCTATCAAAATGACGTGTATTGACAATACGACCGTAATCCTTTGATCGTTGAGGATCAGAGCCGTACCACGTTGACAATGTCTTTTGAATCGCTTGCGTGAATTCTGTCAAACGAGACTGAGGTATCAAGACATAATCTACAGCAACACAACTCTGCATGGTGGTAGGGGAAATGTAAGTTCGACATTTAGTTTCTTTATATATATACATATTTTATATTTTATACCTGTCCTGCATTAAAAAACTTTCCATACGCAACACGGTTTGCTACAATCTGCATATCCGAATCTTGTGTGACAATAGCAGGTCTAAAAAATTATAAGATTTTATATTGTTAATTTTTGGGCGGGGGATGAGATACACAGTAAAACAACTTACGATTTTCCGCCAAGTTCTAAAGTGACGGGTGTTAGGTTGACAGATGCTGCTGCCATGATGGATCTGGCCACTTGGGAATTTCCAGTGTAGAAAATATGATTGAATTTCTGCTGGATCAAGTATTGTGTCTGTTCGACAGCTCCATTCACTACGCGGTACAAGTTTGGATCAAGGTATCTTGGTAAAAGATGTGTAATCAATGCAGAAGTATGAACAGATATTTCGGAAAGCTAGATACATGCATTGTATTATTTTAACATCAATGCTTTCCTTTTAAAGAAAAAAAAAAAACTTTGTTTTTTTTTGAAATTACCTTGAGAACAACACAGTTACCAGCGGCAAGAGCTCCAGCTAAAGGAACAAGCGATAGTTGAAGTGGGTAGTTCCAGGTAGCTAGTTTTATTTAGAGAGAGAGAAAAAAAAAGGTAAGAAACAGATTCAAGTAGATAAAATAAGAGAATACAACTTGCATATGATGAGAACAACGCCCAGTCCTTGACGACGAATATAGGCAGAATCTGTATAATTTGCTCCAAGACGTGGTTTTACTTTTTGATCATTGGTTAAATTCTCGAAATTCTAACAATAAAAAAAAAAAATTAAGTTACTGTCATGTTTTGAAAGGAACCCTTCTTTTTTATGTACGTTTAAAAAATAAACACATTCTTCTAAAACTGGACTAATTTCACTAGCAAGTGCCTCCGCTCTTGACTTGTTCAAATCTTTGGCTAATGCAACGTAAAATTGCTCCTCATTTTCTTTTACAAGATTATAAAGACGTTCCAAGTAGAATTTTCGGGTGAATTTATCTCTTGATTTACCTGCATGAATTTTTTTATGTAACTAAATTACCCAAAAATTTGTTTTTTTTGCATTATTTTCAACTCTTTTTTCTTTATATACCCGTGGTGTAAGTGCCACGTAAACATGTCACATAATCTTCAATGGATTCTGTCGTATTATACACTAATGCCATTTTTTCCCCTCCTTTTGGATTGAAATTAGATCACAATAAAAAAAAAAAATGAAGAGAGGAAAAAGAAGAAACCACACATTTCAAGAGGTTTTATTTATATCAGGCACATGTACATAATGTGTGGGGAGGTTCAGCTAGTCACGTGTGGGAAGAAGAAAGGGCTTGAGAAAACTCGTGTTGTACAGTTGGTTCCAGTCTTCATAGGTCACTTCTTTTTTTTTTTGTCTGTTGAATTGGACACGCACGTGAAATCTCCCCACACCCCCATCGATCAAACCCATCTTGACACATTGGGTGTTAAATATCAAGTGTTTATTTGTGATTTCTTCATTTGGAAGATTAACTATTACAGTGGTTCCCTAGTCTCAATATGTCTCTCTCTCTCTTTTCTTCTGATCACTTTTTAAGTTTCTTTCTTGAGTCTCCATTGGTAACTTTTTTTAAATTCAGTTGGTAACCCTTTTTTTTTTTTTTTTGAACTTTTTCAATTGGACTCTGGATGCACGAAGAGTGCACATAAAAATAAACTGTTATTTAGAGTACATCAATTATAGAGAATGGGAATTTATTGGTTGAGACAATACAGATAGGTTTGTTGCTTGAGATGTACTTTATCATGTCTATTGAAATAAACACATTAGTTTTAAAACAAAATTACACAATGTAGCTAGTCTTCGTTTACCTTGTGTATCACCATGATCGCTTATTTTCACTGGCTAAATTACTTCACATTGACAAGTATCTTTCAGTGAAACAGCAGAAAACTTGCATTACAGCATGAGGAAAACTGAATCATGCGCTGTAACAAGTTTACGTCTTGTTTTTCCAAGTCTGATTTGCTACACTACCCAACATTTTTTTTTTCTTTGAATATTTCTTGCAACGTTGTCCAAGATAAATTTTAGTAGAAATCTCTTACTTTTATGCCATTTGATCATTATCATGATAATTTGAGTGTCAAACATGCTCAATAAATAAAGTATTAGAATCACGCGTTGTCTGACTAAAGACAGTGTTTACACCAAAGTCTTTTTTTTTTTTTTTTAAATTTTTCTACGCTTCTTTTAGAGTCACCCTTACATAGGGTTTTACGACCACGTCTTTTAGCTTTTGGCACATTGTTCTAAATATGTGGCAGAATCTGCAAGATTAACGTGTTAAAAACTGCTTCCGTTTATAAAACGAAAGAAAGAAAGAGAGTGAGTTTAGTGTTCTAATTGAGGATCAAAACCCTGTTGAGCGAGCTACAACCATGTTCTTGTCAAAATTCGCTCGAATTTGTTTTATCGATAATGAACCCGTTAGAGTTTTTTTTTTGTAAGCTTGGGCTTGGTTGCAAGATACAAAAACTGCATGTGAAAGTGACATCAAACACAAAGTCGTCACTAAGTTACCTTTTGCACAGTATTTGTTACTTTTCTTCAAAAAGAATGGCGTTATGCAAGAATGTATATGTAATTGAAAAGAAGAAGGGAAGTTAAATGTAGCATGTGCTGATAATGAAGCATGTCAATCGATCATTTTTCTTAGACTTATGTAGACCATCAAATGATATCAAAAAAAAAACACACTTCCGTAAGAAAAATATAGGTGTCAACCATTGTCTTTGAAACACAACTGACACTGTTGCTTTAAAAAAAAAAAATGCGACACTTTGATTTTTGTTTCTTGCGACATCACCTTAGGGAAACGTGTATGATGATAATAATAATAATACAATGATTTTTTTTATTTATGGGGTGTTCTGTTTTATAAATATAATTTTTTTTCTTTTTTTTGTTGTTGTTGTTGTTGTTGTAGTCGTAATAGTGGTTGTATCAGATTTTCTTGGTTATTTGACAATAGCAGCCTTTGTAGAAGGAGGAGGTGGAGGGGGTGTTTCATGATGCTGTCTTTCGTTATATTCATGTCTTCTATCAGATTCATAGGAATATGTGTTGGACATCTTGGGTCTGGGTTGCCAATCGTAATTATAACCTGGGTAGTGCTGACCATCAGGACCAGCTTGGCTAGCAGAAGGGGGAGGAGGTGGGGGTAAACTAACATGGCCGTTAGTTGAATGATTTTATATAATTATTAAATATATATATATATATATTTTACCTTTGAGTGGATGGGTGTGAATTATGAGCATATGCATGGCTAGCATACTGTTGCTGTTGTTGTTGTTGTTGTTGATGGTGATGCTGTTGAGCATAGTAATGCTGTTCTTGATGATGGGCAGAAGGAGGATGGTTCATGTAAGGCGAACCGTGTTGCGAATTATCAACGCTGGAGGTACTGTTGTTGGAGGCGATTCTCATTCTGTTCCAATGATCTTGTTCTTCTTGATGGTGTTGCTCGTTTGTATTGTTACTATTTCTTTGCCAATAATAAGGGGAGGAACTATGAGGAGGATGTCCTCCATGTTCTTCCTTGACATCATGATCATATTCTTGATTATTATTATTATTATTATTTGGGTATGCTGTAGTTTCATTTGTATTGCTGTTGGAAGAAGTAGAACGATCATGTACATATTGCTGCTGAGACATTATGGGTACAGGAGAAGCGGTGCTAGGGTATGAGTGTTGACCTTGTTGTTGTTGACCTTGTTGTGGTTGATGATGAGGAGGCATGTGTCCATAATTAGTATAGGCAACACCGTGATAGTCATATGGCATGTATTCAGTAGGCTGGAATAAATTGGGACTGGCACCAGCATAGGCAGTAGGACGACCATAAG